GAATTCTAAAAGTGCGCAAGATACTAACGTAACAATCCAATCAGAGAGTTCTAAAAGTGTGCGAAAAACTAAAGTAACAATCCGATAAAAAGGAATTTCTAAAAGTGCGCAAGATACTAACGTAACAGACCAACCAAAAGAATTCTAAAAGTGCACAACATAGTAATACAACAATCTAATCAAAGAGAAGTCTAAAAAAGTACCAGATACTAATGTAACAATCTAATCAAAGAGAATTGTAAAAGTGGACGAGATACTAACGCAACAGTCCAATCAAAGAGAATTCTAAAAGAGCGCGAGATCCTAACGTAACAATCCAATCAAAGAGAATTCTAAAAGTGCGCGAGATAGTAACGTAACAATCCCATCAAAGAGAATTCTAAAAGTGCACGAGATAGTAACGTAACAATCCCATCAAAGAGAATTCTAAAAGTGCGTGAGATACTAACGTAACAATCCATTCAAAAAAAATTCGAAAAGTGCACGAGATACTAACGTAACAATCCCATCAAAGAGAATTCTTAAAGTGTGCAAGATACTAACGTAACAATCCAATCAAACAGAATTCTAAAAGTGCACGATATACTAACGTAACAGACCAAACAAAAGAATTCTAAAAGTGCACAAAATACTAACGTAACAATCCAATCAAAGAGAATTCTAAAAAAGCGCAAGATACTAACGTAACAATTCAATCAAAGATAATTCTAAAAGTGTGCGAGATACTAAAGTAACAATCCAATCAAAGAGAATTCTAGAACTGTGCCAGATACTAACGTAACAATGCAATCAAAGAGAATTCTAAAAGTGGGCCAGATACTAACGTAACAAACCAACCAAAACAATTCTAAAAGTGCACAAGATACTAACCTAACAATCCAATCAAACGGAATTCTAAAAGTGCACTAGACACTAACGTATCAATCCAATCAAAGATAATTCTAAAAGTGCACACGATACTTACGTAACAATCCATTCAAAAATAATTGATAAATAAGTGCGCGAGATACTAAGGTAACAATCCAGTGGAAGAGAATTCTTTAGATGCCGGCATCATATACTAATGTAACGTTCATTAATCATATCAAAAAAACAGAAAAACTAAGTATTGATTTGAACTTATAGATGTATATTTCCCTAATAAATGTTAATTGTCAAAGGCTTTAAAAATTATTTGCCAATCGACAAAATCGAAAAAAAAAAATTAACCGTCGACGGTCAAAGCTTCGTAGACCCTACCTTAAGACCCCCCTAGTCTTTGTTAAAAGAGCTCCTTTTTTATGAGTTTAGTCATGAATAATGATTGCTTTGCAAAAGTTAAGCATCCTGAATAGCACTGCAAATTTTTCTGCTCCAAGCCAAGGGCAGTATTACATCTATTTGGAGATAATAAAAGAAATAATCTTTGTGTAAAGCCAGGGTAGATTCAGACAAGAAAGAATTCAAGATCTTGGATGAGCCCCTGGGCAAACACGAAGCATACTTAAACCTTATAACTTTTCTCATAAGTATTTAAAAAGATGTAGGAAAAGTTTAATTTGATATGTTAGTTATTGCATTTCCTTTTAATTGTAACAATGGTCCACATCGTGATAAAAAAAAACATCTCGGGCCGGCACAATTTCTGCTTACAAGTTTTATGTCCTTTAATGATATTGAACATCAGGAAATTTCAATGTAAACACTCACTAGACATTCAAAAAAAAGTGTAGTTATTGGGAATAGCTAAGCTAACTTTGATTGTTGGTCTTCTATCTTAGGATACATGGGTACATGGGTATTTTCAAGACATGGGTATTTGACAAACTGTTGTCATAATAATTTTTATACTAATGTCTGCCACCAAGAGATGTAGAGCGATAGAATTGCTTCATTTCAAACTCAAATTTGTCTTTAGTTTACCAGATTTGTGGGCTTAGATGTGCTGATCCGTTGCAAATATAAAACCCCATCTAATTGGATGTTATTCTTACATAAAGAACGAATTTCTTGCTTCTAAATTCCATAAAAATTCTTGCATCTAAAGTCACGTTCAAGTAGAACTGTCATGGCGGCTACCACAGACGATTTATCTTAGACTGCGCCGTGCATGTGCATTACGCTTTTCCTTGTTACATTTGACTCAGTAAACTAATTTAAGTAAGGACCACAACGATATTGCGGAAACGTTTGGGGAAAGACGAACACTGTATTTTATACAACTATATCTTTCTATAGGTTATTTACCTGAAGAAAAATCGTGACAAAGGTATCTGACCAACTTGATCCAGCATACGAAACACTCGCCGACCGGGACAGAACAGACAATATCCAAGGTAGTATAGAAATAGCGTGTCTTTAGACTCCATAGAAGCTTAAATAGACGCTCGAATTTAGTGTAGTTCGTAAGCTCTTTCCACGTGCAAGGCTGAGCGAAAATACGAATATTAATTTTGAAAATTATTTGTAATTCAAATGAGTTTTCCAACTTTAAAGGCGGGTTCAAAATAATTGACTCCGTGTTCATCGGTTTGATCCGTTCAATTGTCAAACGAAGGAGTTCAAAAGAGAGCTGCAAATGGTGTTGTAAAGTTAGAACTATCAACTCGAACTTAATGAACTTGAACTTAAAGCTGTTCGCTTCCGTGAGAAGTTGCTGCATTGCGTTTCACTCTTTACAAACATTGACTGAAAAAAGAAGTAAATTTTGAGGAGGATTCGAAAGTTAAAGAAACAGTTTCAGGTGTAGGTCCGCTACTTGCTTTTTTCACACTTTCTGTTAAACATTTGGGGCATTCCAGTGCTTCCATGAGAAAGAGAGAAGCAAGTCATTTAATTTCCAACCTCGTTCATCCTTCACCTGCGGACAGGCTTTTTCCTTTCATGACATATAAGATTAAACGAAGCTCTTTAAGAGCGAGCCTGAGAAGAAAGGTCCTTATGTACTTGTAGAAGCATGATCATAAGTTAATGTTAATAAAAAAATCATAGACCGAAATGTCTTTAGTGAAAAACAATTTTATCCAAAGAAAAAGTCAAGCTGCTGTAATAATTCTGCATTCCTGCGCGAATGGATTAGAAAGACGATTTTCACACTTTAGAGTGATGTATACAAGCGAAAAATCCAAAAGCAGCACTAAAAACTATTACGTGACTTCAAACTCTAGAACATTCGCTGATCGCACAAAGCATCGTAGCATTTGAACGGACTTTGGCTCGGGGGAGGGGGGTTGCATTCAAAAGTTCAAATGCCGGAAGAGTTCCCCAGGGGGTGGGGATGTTGAAGATTCGAATTGAATTAAGACTTTTGGCGGGAACGCGAATAACGCGTGCGCCTTTTCGCAACCCACCATCTTTTGGTTTCTCTAACATGGATGATGTTACGCCGTGAAAGTCAAAATAGTTCCCAAGAGAAGCTACATGAAGTAGCTACATGCAGCTCTCTTATCTAAGGAACACCCAATAAGAGAAAAAGTCAGCGAAATAAGCAGCGAATGAGAACTCCACGCAGATACAAGTTGGACTGTGAAAATGCCGATAACCTCATCGTTATCAATATTTTTAAAGCAGCTCATTGGTTTAGAGGGTGAAATGAATTTTCTAGACCAATATTTCTTACCACTGTTAACTCTTTGAACCCTAGGAGAGACTAGCATCTAATTTCTCCTTACAGTATCACCCCTAAATCAGACATAAAGGTAACGAGAATAAGGAAATGATCACCGACTAAAGAATCTCTTGACCAGCATCTTAAGAAAAGCGTAGAGGGCAGTATGGAGAATATGCATACTGATGTTAGGGTGTAAACGGTTAAGGTGAGGTCATTATGTTCGTTGCACGTTAGAAAGAAACTCAAACCAAAGTCACAACATCTTGCTTCATTCCAGCTTTAATTGTGATACTTTTTAACACACTACTTTAACAGGTTTAACAAAATTTTGAATCATAGTTTAAAAGTCCAAATTATTTCAAAGCTTTATCTTCAACACTCTAAGTCTGTTACAGGCGACGCATTCCAATGTAGGTTAAGATGGGGTCGGCACTTTGAAGCGGGAGTCTACTTTGGCAGTGACGCGAGAAGCTCAGAAATAAACGTCTCTGGTTCTGGGATGTCGGACAGCAGTTCTGCAAGGAAATAAAGGACAGGATTGTGAATCATCAACCAAGGAACGTTAAACAAGGTCTTAGTTTTGGGATAATTTGTTAAAAATGTGACTATTCCTGACCGAGGTTATGCAGGTAAAATACAATGTTTTACGGCATGGATACACTGGATGAGAATTACAATACATAAATGACAGAGCAAGAATTTACCATACAGAGTGGCGTTCAATTATTCTACCACATCACGTGACGAAGAATAGCACCATTACGGTCTAAATGTCAAAACCACAGACAAACGATTTAAGTTCAATTTACCTGATAATTTGTTTTAATTAATCAAAGTTTAATTTTTGATGTAGTAAAAGAACTGAACTTCCCCAGGTCGGAATACTATATTCTCTTCTTTTCTGAAGCACTTATTTCCTTTTCCTTTTCAAGGATTGTTTACTAATTTTAATTACTTTTATACACCGCACAGTTTCAGAATCGTTGTATGTTGTCGTTCTGTAGCATAGTAATTACACCATGGTTTACATGAAGCCTTAGGCTACCGGCTGATTAGACTGAACAAGCTTTCGCCGATCCATGGGATGATGCCTTAAAAGGCCTCTCTAGAAACCATTACAAGTTTTCAGAATGCTTCGTACCAGCTTTAACACAACAGCACGGCACATACCTGCCACATCAAACAACTCCATTAATGACTCTGAAGGTAAAAGATCCGTCTGGTAGAATGACAAAATCTGTAAAATAAATTACGTCAAACAGTCAGCCTGCACAACAACAAAATGAAAACTATCGACATGTACTTCTCTCACCTTGTCACCGCCTTTCAACACGGCTTCATCGTTGTTTCGAATGTAGTCCAGCATTCCCTGTGGCCATCCACTATCATCCGCTGCCAAATGTTTCTAAGTGAAGAAAAAAATAATAAACAGGTGATGGGCTCGTAGAAAATAAAAACACGCTCCAATAACTTGATATGTGGTTACCGTCATTGAACTACACATGAAACCACAGGGAACTAAAACTATGACACCAAGTCCCCCATATAGAGCCTCTCACTACGGTCGTCCCTGTAAAGATTCTACTTCGGTCACCTCCGATTTCGAAATTTCCAGGAGACTTGATAGTTTGAGAATTTGCTCACGCAGGACCAAAGGAACATCCTGGCTAAATGGAAGGCAATCCTCTCTGGTTTTCTACATGTCCTTTAAACCTGTTCACTAACTACACAACTATATAAATGACAATATATTCTATCAAGGAACTTGTATTTTCATCTGTCGATTGGCCATCGACTGAAATCGAGCAGCCATTGATTGATTGCATAGGCCTAGAATAGCGTATTCAGCGAACTAACCTTCAGCAGCTGATGAAGTCTATCGATTAGAACAAAGTACACGATATAAGGTCGGTATACAGAGTACTCGGCTATGTTCACATTCGTTATCCTGTATCATAAAATGGAGATCGATAAGTTAATTCTTAGAACTTAAAATCCAGGGTGCAATGTCTATCTGTTGGTTAACACTTAATCCTTAAATCCCTGATGGTGACTACCGTATTTCTTCACCTATAAGCCGAGCGATGTTTTCAGTATTTGGCACAAAAGTTTAGGAGATTTTTCCACGAGAAACGGGATTCGGCTTATAGCCGAGGGTTTGGGATTCAAAAACAAATACAAAGTTAATGTTTATGCGAAATGACCGTAAATTACGTGACTACTGCGCTCTTTACGTGACATGTTTTAAATTTGTCATGACAACAACCTATTTTTGACCACCAATCAGATTCTCTGCTTTGTAGCATCTAATTTCTCACTTAAGTAGCACCGCTGTATCAAACATTAGTCTCATAAGGATCAAGGAAAGGATCGCAAAGTTAAAGGGCTCTTGATTTTTCACCAAATTCTCCTTGCCAGTGTCATAGGATATGTAGAGAAAAATAATTGGGAGAATATACATATCGATGTCAAGGTGTAAAGGCCTTAAATTTTGACATAGAGAGTGATATAGGTCTTTCCGGACGAGTTACAGTGATGCACACTTAAGGAAAATGGAAACCAAGGTTGAATAATTATTATACAGAAAACATGAACTTCATAGCAAAAGGCGCATAATCCAAACATTACGTTAAGGGAATTTTAAGGAAACTCAACCCATAGCATTGGAGAAATGAAAGTCAAAAGCATGTCTTAAAGTCTCTCTGTGCCAAAAAACCCATCACACAACGCAGTAGGCATAAACAACTAACAAAAATAGAGTCAATTGGTGGCTCGTACTTGGACGTTCCCGAGGGATTTGTATGCCGAGCGTGCGCAGTAACGAGAAGTCTTTTGAGGAAAGTGATCTTTGACTGATTCCAGTTTTCCAGCGAGTAAACAAACAGTGACAGTAATGTCAGGTAAAGCGGACTGTCCACCTGAAATGAGAAAAAGGAAAAAAAATCTAATCATTCACTGGCTTATCAAATTCAAATCACTTTGCAAGGTGAAATAAAAAGGTCCTCATCAATGACAGGAGTTATTCTTTATAAACTAAGAAGCTTCTCACAAGTAAGGATTAAGAATACATGTTCCCCCAGTGCAATTTTGGTGTTGTTTAAAAATCTGCGGGGCTTAGGAAAAAATTGAAGTATCTGGCACAGCTTGCCATTCAAAGATTCTGATGTTCTATTATGTAATTGACCTTTAAGCAGAGTATACACGGAAGAAACCCTGCTGAGAACCGGGCCGATCGGGCAACTTACCTCGAACGACGATTCAACCCATTTCTCCACGGGCATGTCCAGGAAGGATTTTAGGGACTTCTCCTCTCGACTCGACTGCCGCGTTCTGAGAGAGAAAGGTGACAAGTAATTTAATGCCAGATGAACATATAACTGGCAACTCAATAGGCCGAGTTCGATGGGGTTGTAGTTAATCATGGGCTTCCTAACCCTCTCCCCACCGTCCACCCCCAGAATTTCGTACCCATATATACCCTTGAGGGGAGAGGGGTGCGGTGAAAAGAAAGTGGAGTGTCAAGGTCAAGATCTCTCCAGCTACAGTACAGAGAGCTGATCATGGGACCACTGTATCTCAAACGCCCACCGCTCTCGTGGGCCACGTTTGTACAAGCTTAACAACTAAACTGACAAGTTAAGGGCTCTTACGTGTTCAGAACGTAAAGGATCATGTGCATGGCATATGGCACAAATTTGATGTTCGAATCTCGTCCTCCGCCACCAGTGTCCTCACTGAATGATTTTTCAAACGCAAACCGCTGTAGCAACAGGCGCAGATCGTGAATGGAAGCATGATATGTCGGCTCCAGATGACCTGTGCATTCTTGAATGTAACTGTTGTGTCTGGAAAAAGAAAACGACTCATTTTGTAAAACAAAGATTCCAGTCATGGACAATACTGACACAGGCATGAAATTTAACATTGGATGTATTTCTTGAGCTCTTTCCCACTTATATTTTTTTTTCGCGTGGCGATTTTTTAAAAACATCTATAAGTTCCTCTTAAACAGCTTGACAATAACGGGGGAATGAGGACCAACTTTTTGTTGATTTGTTTGTTTGTTTTTTTAAGAAATATGTGCAATAAGTCACAGAGCGCAAACAGCCTGGCGGAAAATACAATTGGTGACAAGCGGTTTTGTTTTCGATTGTACTTTAGGATCTGGACAATATTTCTAATATCATGAAAATTTATCACGTCAATCTAATCAATTCTTGCGCTTAGAGAAACCTTTAGATTTATAATCTAAACCTAAGCTGCAATTTGTACGAAAACGTTCACTAAGGTGATTTATTGTTTGTACCTGACGTACTTGTTCGACCGTTCAGAACATGCACCGTTCTATGATCACTATAAAGCGAAAAAAGGCACACCCACCTTGCTAAGCAACTCGCAAACGCTGATTCAGAGACCTTGTAAGGAAACAAAAAACGTTAAATTTTACTCCTCTTAATGCAGGCCTCTTGTCTCAAAAAGAACTGACGAACGACTCCGCTATATTTTCAGAACAGTTTTCCGTGAGATAAGCTTCGTAAACTCAAATACGATCAACAAATTACTGCACGCTTTGAAGCGTCAACACATGTCGAGCTCCTTCGATTGTTAGAGAGTAGCATTCTGCAACTATTAAATCATTGATCATCAGATTCTGTTGGATGTATTACCTGAGGACCCCAGATTGGTAAAAGACCATTGCACTTGGTGTTTGCATTCTGAAGGGCGGCGCTTTCCCACTCATCACGACCCCGAGCGAGTCTGTTAGCGAAAACAAATGTCAAAAATTCACAATAAAAAAAATAAAACAATAACCCTAAACAATAAATATAACAAACAACACAACACAACTTGGGACGTAACTAGACAGCAATTTAGGCGACAAAATTGTGACAACACTTTAAATATTTGTATGATGTCGAAACAACACTAAAACGAATGACAGAAAGAAAATGATAAAGAATGAATCACAGACAAATAAACAGTCAGACCGACAGACGAACAACAACAACAACAACAAAAAAGGGAATATAAGAGAGAAAAGAAAATTTTACTCATTTTAGACAAATGAATTTAACAGTTTGCTCACCTCACTGCGGCCATGTGACAATCGTAGTGCACGATATTAAAGTGACTTACAGTTGAATACCCCTGCGAATATAACAACAACAGAAACTAAACATACCAAAGATGTACTAAGTCTGGTAAAGTAAATATCTCGCTCTTTTTAATGATACCATAAAATAGTACTCTCGTACAAACTGGGAATTCAATTGGAAAACACAGTAATTGTTGCAATTCGACGAAATTTAAACTCTTACACGAACAATTACTTGCTTACCAAATCCTCAGAGTTTTCTCACCTGTGTTTTTCGTTGTTTGTTTTCGAATTCCTCTAGTATGCATCTTTTGGTGAATGTGTAGATACCGAGAACCTGCAAAAAGACACCAAGGTTAACCAAGGACAATTATTTTACATTGTGATGTTTTAAAACAGCTCAGTCGCTTAAACTTCCATGTTTCAAGAACACGTTCGAAGTAAACTTTCAGTTCTAAGTAAGCTTCATTTCCAAAGATACAACAGACCTTTTGTGGATGATATTTATAACCCTCGCGGCAAATACAACAAGCCAGTCCGGACTCCTCTTGTAGCTCTTCCATCTCACGCAGTAAATTTGACGGTTTGGCAATGATCTTTCCTCCAGAAGTTGTCTAAAATATAATTGATACTCAAATGAAACGACAAAGTAACACTCCATGGTTTGGGGTTTGAGCTGCTCTCAATTCCAATGCATCCATGTATCCTTCACCAAAACAATAATTATATTTAAAAGAAAACGAGGAAAGCAACAGCTATCACCTCTGGAAAAAGTTAAAATCCCTGATGATGAACCTCTGTACAGAACGAAGGGCTTGGTAAATTAGAAAATAAATATCTAAAGTGGATGGAATAAACCGAAGGACTACGTTCGCGGAGGCCCAAAGGATGACCGAACAAGAGAAGTAAAATTTTGACGACAAGGGCATTACCTTCGCAGAAACCACAAAGTCAGAAGGAGTTTTGATTTTACAAAAGCACTTGTAACTTCTTAATTCAATGTCGTAATTGAAAATCAGCGGTCTATTTGCAAATCAGTGAAGAGTATATATTTACCTGCATCCCAAGAGCTCCCAGCTGTTTTTCTCTCATAGCCATAGCGAGCTTCTTCTTTTCATTTCGAGTTGAGCGGCGGACTTCCTCTACCTGAGAAGAGTTCCACAAGCAAGGTATATAATAGGAAAATTAAATAAAAAACCCTCCTCCATTCCGCTTAGGAACGCGCATCATACATTTTCTACAAGAGATGCTAACAACAGCGACACAAATTCAGTTTCAAGTGTGTCGAAAGTGTACATCGCTTTTAAGTTGGCCACACTCTGATGCTCAGTGATTGGTCAAGAAAAATCATACCACTCCCCTCTAATCCAAAGAGATGCATAACTAAAACCCGTTCCGAAATAACATTTAACGAGTCAAAAGAGGAATGAAAATAACCTTCTTTTCACCATCAGGATGCTCTCTCAGCGCTTCCATTAGGTTCTCTGCCAACGAGCCAACTTTTTCTTCGGATGAGACTTGCTCAAGGCGATGTATGGCTGGCACAGCTGTCTCGCCGACTAGAACCTAAAAAAGGAAAGCACACTCTTTAGACGACGCTCATAAATGAAACAAGATCAAACAAAAAAAAAAACAAACAAACAAACAAAAAAGAAAGCTCTTGTCATTTCGTAATTGGACATCATATAACACTTAAATGACCAGCTGCCATATTACATCAAAACTGTTTACAATAGTCGCACAGTTAAGTCTTACGATACGAGGTTTCGCTATTCTGCAAAGTTACCAATTTTAGCGTTAGGGGTTAGCCAATTCCACCACTAATCACACTGAATTGAACAATAGTAGAAAAAAAACAGGTCTTCCAGGAAAGAACTAAATGGCAGCAACGATCAACACAGTTCCTACTGGTGATTTACATGTAACATCAGTAAATCACCTTCCAAACCGATCAGACCACTGTACCTGAGTATTGGCGTGTCCCTTACAGAGACCAGACAAAAGTCGGAGAACGTAAGGAAGAGACGGACGCGCTAAAAACTCTTTCCAAACGTCAGCTTCAAGAAGGTTTGCTTTGCTGAAGAAAAATAACAAAAAATCGAAAAATTGATGATCCCACCCTTTGCTCACGCATAGTCATTATGCGTGGCTAAAAGATATAAAATGTACACAGAAAATAATAATGTGGGGGGGGGGGAAGGGCGATAAGGAAAAAAATAAACTAATGATGTTACCAAGTGGATTAGCTGCTCTGATTGACTACACAAAGACTATAACCCTTTAACTACCAAATGCTCGACAGCCTTAAGTCGTTACACTTTAACCCAGCATGTAAATTTTCCATACTGTTCACTCGATACAAATTTTGTATAGTTATGGAGAGGAGCATTTGTTTAACAATCAAGAGCTTCTCGAGTGGGTGATCATTTCTTGTATTCTCATAACCTTAATGTTTGATTCAATAGTGATAATGTGTAGAGAAATTGGATGTCTTGGGGTTAATGAGTTCATGAACGAAGTCAGCGCAAACCATATTATTGCTCGTACCTAAAGGGCTTCTGAGGTGTTTGCTGTTCGAGGTATGTCATTGCTTTAGCAACAATTCCATTCTCAATGATCATGTCCTTTAGCTTGAAGCCATTGTGATTGTTCTGTAAAACAAATAAAAACAGGAAGAACAAAATATTAGAAGTTTGAGAAGTTGAAGTTGAAGCGACACAAAATCGAACTGAGAGAATATAATATTTATAGCTATACATCAGAAAATACCCTGAAATAAACACGGAGATTATGAATCGAACAAAATGTCTTTGTTATAACATGAACAGCGGAAAAGAACAATATTAACAGAAATAAGGACAAAAACAACAACAGCAAAATACAACTCAATAAATTCAGGGGATCGAACCAGAACTTCTCAATACAGAATCCATGGCGCTTTACATTTGGCCACCGCATCCCAAAGAACATAGAAGGACCCTTAGCTTGCGTGCAAGTCTTACCTCAATTTTACTTGCTATACTGCAGAAACAGTCACAAAATAGAGTTTCGTCATTGGAACGCTCTCGATCAAACCTACGGAAAATAAGAAAGAAATAAAAGAGTGAGTCATTTTTATTCTATATAAACATATTAGCATAATTCAATGTATTTCACAAGCCAGACAAACTACCAGTGAACTGTCTTTGTAGATCTAAGAGTTCTTTCGGGGGTAGGGCAGTACAGAAATCTGACAGTTGGGGCTATGAAGATGATTCGGCCAGTTAAACTGAAAAAATAATTCACAGGTCACACTTCTTTCCCACAGTTAGCCAAGAACTTACTTCTCAAAGTCGAGGTATGGTAGGAAATGGTTGATCAGGGTCCTCATGTTTCCTTCATCTCCAAATGTCAAGAAGGGAATGATTCGCATCATGGCTTGAAGTACACTGCTGTGGGTCCTCTGTAAAAAAACAAAGGAGCATCATATGACACATGCACTCGGTTGCGTGGTAAGATTGATAAGAGTTCGATAGGTTACGGAATTCACAGTCTATAATTTTGAGCTTGGTTAGTCTGAGAAGTCTGGTTCCTGAATAGTGGCTGGTTACTTTTGTCAATGACGGCAAACAAACTCCGGTAGCATTTGGCAGTTCTGATGGTGAAATGAATCTAAGGAAAAGCAGTCTTTCCTTTCGTCTAGGAGCTGTAAAAGTGTATGTAACCTGAGCTCATAACAAAATTCGCGTCGATTTAAATGTGTACCCCCTTATTGTAGGTCGTTAAGTTTCCATATATATCCTTGTCATTTTTCAGATTCATTGCCCATTTATCGTTAGATGTGGGACCACTGAAGAGGTCACACTACCTATACACAGTCCTTATGAGAAAGTTTTGATTAATGTCTTGTTTTGCTCCGCATTCGCCCTTCAAGGGCTGGTCGCTATTGTTAATGTTTAAAAACTGGTGGCGGTCAGTGGAGGAGGAGAAAGCCAGGGAGCTCACAATGTACAAACAATACCGTACCACGTAAGGACTTGTAATCCTGTTGAGCAGCATGTCCAACTGGGAGCCATCCCCCTGTTGGATGGGGATATCAGGAGTAGGAGTGCTGGTGGCTTCCTGCAGCACAGTCTCCATGATCCCTAACACGTCCTCTGCAATGCTTGCACCACCTCCGGAATCAGCTTCCAGTCGAAGGGCCTGTGTCATAAACAGCAACGGACTAATTAATTTGATTCTAATAAAACACAAGATTGCTTGTTATTCTGACTCTCTTCGGACATATGACCATCAAAAGACCAATTTTCTAGGACGGTATTCAAGCGCAAACCAACTATGGAAGGAAAGCTTTAGGGAAACACCTCTCACTAACTTATGGTCCATGGTTTTCTGATAGTTTTAATATGCCGAGCAACAATCAGGTAACGAAGAGAAATTAAAACCCATCATATTCCCCCTAACTGATTTACAAGAAAATTCATAGCAGCTGGAATTTTTAATCAGAAATTAAAGGTTAACGTAACTGTCTCTAAAGCCACGCCTGTTTCTATAAACACGGTAGAGAATCTCTCAAGATTTATACATCTTTCTTCTTCTTTATTACTTAGTCATGCCACAATTGGGGGTTGAACATATTTGACGGCTGAACAAAGTTGGGGCTGAAAAGAAATGAAACCACACCTGGTTCAGTGTTCCAAGAAGGACGTTGAGTGTGTTCAAAGTGGGGAGACACAAGTATTGTCTGTTAACCTGCAAGGAAACAATGAATTCTGTCAGCTTACAGCACACAGCTACAAAAATTATTAACGTTTTAAGAAGGAATCATTACGGTGCATTCAGTGAGGTACCTTGAGTTTCACGCAATATCCCATGAGCTTCAGTATGACTGACACCAACTGCTTGCCACGTACAAGATCCTTAATGCCGCTTAACCTTCAAAATAACGTAGCAAGAGCTGTTACTGGCCAGTCATATCACAGCTAGCCGTATTAAGTACATCAATAGGCATATTCTTTATACTGTTTGTACATTCCAAAGGTGCTGACGAGGAGAATTTGTTTCACAATCAAGAGCATCTTTAGTTGGTGATCATTTCCTTTAATCTCGTGGCCTTAATGTGTGATTCAGGGGTGATATTGTAAGGAGAAATTACATGCCAGCCAGACTAAGGACTCAGAGCGTTAAAAACATTTCCTGTCCAAAAATATTTTACAGATCGAAGCTCTTTTATAATTTGCACCTTCTTTACACAACCGTTTAGGTTTCCTCTCGATAGAACAGAACGTTGAACTAACTTTAGAGACGAAGCACCACTTGTATGTATTTGGTGGGCGAAAGCATGGTACTCGATAGGAAAGAAATTTAAGGGAATGTTAAACATCGCGGGAACATCGGTTAAATATGATAAGAGTGCGACGACGCATCGCAAAGTTTTCTCGCATAAACAAGAAGGGTTAGGAACGTTGACAATACCTGCTCAGCATGGCCTCGAGCCCGCCAGAAGTAGACATAATTGAGGCCATCTTATACACCTCTTCGTCATCCAGTTCCTCTTCTGTAAACAAGACGGTCAAAGTGATTAGAAAACTATTTTATCCCCGCAGCAACTTTCGATAAAGAACACAACAGTAGGCGGAAACTGGCCGAACAAAGTAAACGTTGACTTACCCTTCTGAGTATCAAGATTCTCCACAAACTCTTCCGTGGCATCTCCTAACAGACCTATGAAGGACACAACAAACACAATTTACATTTAAGATAACTAGTTTGTAGTCATATTTATTCTCGATTGCATTAACCAAGCAAACACTAATACGAAATCTGTAGAGTAGTACTGGTAAACAGAGAAAACTTCTGAAGAATTGAGGTATAAAACAAGGTGAACACGTATAATCATTATAAAAGTTGACACCCCATCAGTACTGACTTGAAAAAAATTTTGCTATTAAAACAAATTGTCAAACGAGGAAAATTTTGCACATCGGAGCACAAAACTCTTCAAATGAATAAGTTTTGAACACACAAGTGTGAAAAGCCAGTCGGGTGAGTCTGGGCCTTGAATATCCCTTGAACGGTCAACAAAAGTTTTCATCACAATATCAGTGCATTGTGTGTAAATGGTAGGTAGGTTGTTAAAGCTTGGGGCCAAGTGGCCTCTACAGGCTGGGTTTATCCCGGTTTCCATAGCAGGAAGCAACTAGGAGTATTATTATAAAGATCACTGCTAAAATTCCTTTTATTTACCTCGCATTCGGTAGATAATCCGCATTGGTTCACCCTTAAAACAAGAATTCAAGAAGTAAGAATTGGTGAGGTACACGACCATCATACACTACATGATAATTTAGTATTATCAGCTAAGTTGATAACATAAACTGGCCACCGTAAAGAGATTTCAAGCTGACATTTCGAGCGTCAGCCCTTCGTCCAAGCGATTGAAACGTCAGCTTTTAAACTCTTTATTGTTGCCACTTAAGTTATCAACTCAGTTGATAATACTGAATTACCTTATTATACTCTCCCACCAACGCAGCACCACAGTTTCTTTAGAGACTTATTCCTTTTATTCATAATACCCTACATTCCGCCAACGCTACGGTTCTAACGGAAAGATTGGCAACTGAGCAAAAATCTGAAACCTTATCCCACTGATCAAATACAAGTCTGAAATTGGGATAGTGAAAACTCAGGCGTTAATTTTCGCCGAGTTATCACAAACACAGATATAGCTGTACACACCTCTCCTTCAGGACACCATATTTTCTTGTAAACATCTTTTACAGGTAAATCCAGACTTATGATCTTACTGTTAACGAGTAGCTGAAACAAAAGACACACATTAAAATTGCTCGTCAATCAGGTAACAAACTCTTCAATAATCGCCAGAGATTTTTCACATAATCAGGAACGTTACCTCCATTCCGCTGTCATCCTCCAGTAACGCCACCAATTCACAATCTAAGGTAACATGAATAGATTATTATTATTTTACTTTCAATACCTCCAGTCATTTCTGCTTAAACTCAGAGAGGGCTTTAGTCTATAATAAACATAATTCCCAAGTTATTTAATTACCGGTGCATATCTTGTTCTTGACATCTCTCATAAGCGGACCCATACCAGGCTCGTTGCAGCTGTGGAGCAAGAAAATATGGGACCAAAGTGATGACATAATCAGGCACTTAAGAGGGCCTTTAGATTGATTGTTGAAAAACCAAACGGCCAATCAAAACAAAGGGAAATGTGACAGGAAGCCAAAAGGAATTCAGTTAAAAAAAAAGTGAACTAACGAAGCGCCACGAAACGCGGGGAACCAAATAACAATGAGTTTTAGTTTAGCATCGCATTGTTCAAAAGGATGGAGCGAGCGTTCTGGAACAATCATAGAACAATCTTTGTTGGCGAATTCAAGACGTGACCAAAAATTGCGCCATAGCTTAAATAATATTGTTTCCCGTCACTGTAACTTCTCCAAGGGTTTGGGAAATTTAGTAGGCATCGAGACCAGCAATCAGGTTTGGCAATTATGTACCTTCCAATCCAGAATAAAAGTGAAGCTTTTCGTCTGGCCTTATTGTTTTTATTTCTTTTGTATTCACCCTAAAGTAGCTCATATTCAACCCCTCGGATACCTGTAAGGATTTCCTTGCATGCGTCCTTGAAGGAAGTCTTCTTGTTGAGGATCTTTCTCCAGCGTAAGAAAGAACTCGCCGACATCGTTTTCTTCCTTTTGAAAGAGGAATAAAGAAATAAGATGTTTGACATTGAAATACAAAATATAAGTTAAAACATTTCATTTCACATTCGAGCACGGTCAAGTATTTCGGAATGAGTTTCGTCAATACAGTCCAATAACACAGCAAAATGTTGCTTTTGTGAGCAGCTAGATCACAATTTTACTGGTAATTTCTATTACTAAACTTCTCCTTGCGATTCCAATGTTACCTTGCAAATTGGTAATGAGAACAGACAAGCTTATCAGCTGGGGGGTGTTATCTTAATATAACACGAAATTCTCTTGTCTAATTTACAAGGAACTGTATGGCATTATGAAGGAAGAAATACTAATTGGATCTTACAACAGGGTTCAACGTCTAGGCTAAATGCTTCAAGATACACAACCCGCGAAGTAACTTTTAACTCAAGAAAAGCGCTGGAATAATTCTGGCTGATGTATTGTACTTACGGGAAAGATAAGACTGCAAAGCCGCTCAAAAATGAACACTGGAGTCCTGAGGTCATCCAGACCATACCTGATAATATATATCAAATCAAGTAAAAAGAGTGCATTGTTTAAACTGACTCCATAGTTATGTTCTTAGAAACATGTGAAAAAGTTGCCTCTTGTTCTTGAAGGTGGGCGGGCTGAGCTTCGTCAAATATAGAATAAAACTAACCAACATGAGTGGCACAGTGGTACAAAGTAGTTTTTAAAAAGTCTGTAACATTTCCCCTTTATGAACACTGTGAAATCAACAAACCTCTTCAGGGTTTCCACACAAATAGCCATGAAAGCCTTGGTTTCTGTCTCCGTACCTGAAAATAGAATCATTGAAAGTGTCACCTCGGTTTAATAGGATAGATGACGAAAGAACAATTGCCCATTAAACCGCACTTTCGTCACTCATATTCCCTGACCTTCAAACATTTTTTTTCAACTTCTTGAAGAAACAATATAGATCTACTTTAACAGAACTACGTACGGGTAATGTTCAACTTCACTCACCAGTAGTCATTTCTTCCAATAATTCCAGTAAAATCTCTTGCGTTTCATCAATCAGTTTTGTGCGCTGAACAACCAATCTGACAAGCAAACAAATGAATCTTTCAAATTTCACCTCGAGAAAGGCAGTGAAAGATCAGTAGCCACCCCGTGTCTGTAAGCTAAATAAACAAAGTTACCTTCGCAAGGACAAGTAACCATTTAGCACTGTGGCTACCAGTCGTCCTTTGAACTTTTGTTTGATCGCTTCATGTTCAAGGAAGGAAGACATCAATTCTGAGAAGAGAGAACACAAGTAAATCAGTAGTAAATAGGTAAATATTTCTGAAAGGCTACGAAGACAAAGTACTTTCTTTTAGCAACACTTCTGCGCCAGCTCTATTCGAGACACGCAAGGCCCTGTCGCATATTAAGCACACGTACCAAGTGAAAACGACCAGAATATCAGAGTTTCATTGAACGCGATAATCCTTAATTGCTCTTTTTTTGTTTCTTTAGAGAGCCTTCTTAGTTTTTTTTAATTTTAATTTTTTTTTCATGAGGCCCTAAACTGATCCTCATCTTTCCTTACCAGCCAACATCTTCAAAGCATATCCCTGAGACAGATCAGAACTGAGAGTGTACTGCTCCAGGTAGGTCAAATGCTCTATTTCCTACAAACACAAATAAATTCTCTTTCATCTTGGCAACTTCAGACTAGAGAATAAAAGGAATAGAAACTAGAAACCTATTTGACTAATCGTACCTTTGTCAACAGCTGACCAATTTGCAACAGAGCTCCTTGTAGTGCTAAGTAGAATTTCCAGTAAGTAGGCTGAGTCAACCGCTGATACAACTGGAAGAACTCAGCAGCATTCTCTCCTGCAGTTCGAACTTCCTCCAGATAACTGTAAAACATGGTAATATAATAAGGATGATCACGATACATCCCGGACAAGGCCTTGGTTTCAAACAATTAATTCAGCATTAAAGTAGCTACTGCAAATCCACCATGGCGCATCTACTTGGTTAGTATTTATGAAGACTGTCCCATGGTAATCTTAGCTCTGCGTTGCGAATAATTTTTCTCATGTGATGGAATACTCGCCGACGAAGCGAGGGAAACCATTAAACCTACCGAAATCACAAGCCCTTGACACCTGAGTAAGGCAACCCTGTGATTTGCAAAGTTTACGATAAACTCAAAATTACTTACCTTGTGAGCAAGTCCAACATATGCTGCTGTCGGCTGGGTATCTAAATTTAACCAATCAATTTAAAGGATAAAATTAAGAAGTGTGCTTCCCAGATTTGAAAGGAATACTGTGGGTTGTCAAGCGTGATCGTAATATACAAAAACGAACACGGGAATACCAGAAGTTTAGTCCTTCTCTGGTAAGAAAAAATAGTAATACTAATACTAACAGCATCAAAGTCGGGTTGTCAGAAAAAAAGGTGGTGGTGACTGCACCATGATCAAGTTTGATAATCAACAGGGAAGGCCTGGACGTACTCTTTCCAGTTGCGGCCGTTTCTACCTGTTCTTTCGTTCACCTTCACTAACTGAGATCATAGAAATACCTAATTGACTAAATCTACTCCTTCGACTTAGGTACATTTTCCTTAAACCATCATTTCCCCCTTTCCACATTTGAATAATGTTTTTAATGTCTTTAAATGTACCTGACACAAAGACTCTATCATAGTGCAGGCCATCTCTCGCGCTGCCCTGTTAGACGGAGTAAACAGCACTTGTCTCAGCCACTCCTCCTCGCGCAGATCCTGCTCGTCACTTGTTTCGTTCCTCTTGGTCCTTTCTCTCCACTTCCTGCCGTACTTCTCCATCAGGTGTCGTTTCCGTGCTTCACTGCGGTTTTCCCCATTTGTCACTTTAGATTTAGTGGGAGCCATGGCTTTCCAATGAGAATAAGTATGGCTGGCATCTCCATCCATCCATTGCTTGGCTTTAATGCGCACGTCACTATAACCTTGAACTGAGCCCAACGACTTGCAATCTTTGTCCTTCATAGGGGGAAAAAAAGGCACAAACCACTAAATGAAAAGCTACCAAGCCTCGGCTCAAGTAACTTGCCCTATTTTTGCAGTTTATCATTTGCAATCTGTGTCAATCCTCGCCATCTTTTACTATCTTGGTTCCCTTCTAGTTCACTCTCACATGTTTGTTGTTTGTCCACCCAAGGAAATTATATCTTTAAAGTTTAACTTCCTTTCTTATGATGCTCAATATCATTTGAGATATCGCCATCTATTCTTGCTGAAAACCAAACGCATAGCCATAGAGAATATTTCGAAGTAAATTAATTGCAAGAAATAATGCGAAGAAACACTGGTAACATGACCATTTCGTTAGCGCGAAGTTTTATGATTAAGGCTTTACGCTGGTGTCTCGTACACACTAATACAACCACAGCCAAAGCTTTCCTTTAATTGTTTTGCTGCTTTTGTTGTTGTTTTGCTTTTGCTGTTGGCTGGTTTGCTTGTTTGTTTTAGAAAGGGGCAGAATCTTCCAATAAGCCTAAAGAATAAAACATTTACATCTGCAAAAGTCTGTTTGGAAATGTCTAAAATGCCAGTTGTATAAACAAAGAAACCCACCTTATTGGTTTTACTGCTGGGTGAAGGGGGTTTCACAAGTTTAAGTAAGATCTTTAGACAGGGTACGGTGATGCTTTCCATGATAAGGGGACTCCGTACCTCCACAGACATCATGAATAGTGTCATTACTAAGAGATAAAGACAGACACCAATATGATTCACTTTTAGAAGTACAGAATGCTATACGAGCCACAAAGACACAAATACACTAAAAATGTGCCTATTTTTATTTTTCGAGTAAACCGCTTCAACTGCAATGGATTCAACATTTAGATACTAACCGCATCTCAAACGCATCTCCCAGCATGAATCCTCCATTTCAACTGCATTACTCAAAAGTAGCATTTCCCGACTGATTCCTGAGACCTGCAACGAGGAAAGATAAATATAAACTTTGTGATTTGGTTGACTTCATTGTACCCTGAAATCATCAATCCGAGCCAGAGTTTCGGTTTGTGGAGAAGAGCTAAAAGAAAACTTACGAACAATGGCAGAGGCTTCTGACAACTGCGGTTTGTTTCTCGCTTCAATAAGGAGCTGCGTTTTTCGTCGCGGAAAACGACTTTAACTTTTTCACATAGCTCATATGAAAATTTGACATACGAAGCACGAATACCTACCACAGCGGGATTAGATTTATGGCTACCGACAGCTTCACCAACTGCTCCGATTAATATTTCATTCAGTTGATTTGTGGCAACTTCGTTATCTTTGGTCAACAAACACAGCAGATGTCTCACGTCACTCCTCATCTGCGGAGTGCCTTCATGCAGGTTGAACTCGACAAGTTCTTGTATGAGGCCCTAGAGAAACAACGAGATCAGAATTCAAGTCTAAAACTCAAGAACATGAAAATGTGAAACATTTATGTCTAGCGAAGACTGAATTCAAATTGCAGCATCTCCCTCACCCTATCCCAACGCAAGATACTTTCGATGTTGCTTCCATAGCAATATGCAGTTTTTCCCCTCAACGACGGTTTCTTAAATATAGCCACTCGTTTCCTTGACAGTGTTTTAAACTGAACAGAGAATATCCAAAATACTTGCTTTACGTACCTCTTCCACCAGTTGCTTACGAGTCCCTGGCACCATGGCTAATGCTCTCAATAGTGTGACACAGTGCTCTATAGCAGCCGATGCACAACCATAACATTCTCCAGGCAAACCCTTAGCACCCGTCGTAAGCAACAAAGAACCGCTAGCGCCTTCTGTTGGACCTTTACACTCGCGGCAGTCATACTCGAGTAACTCCTTCCGGGAGGCTAGTACTTTCTGTTGGATAAAGAAGGGACGTGTTGGAAAAAAAACCTGTGTATCAGCGGCTTCAGAGTACCATCATCTGTCTATAGTTGTGCGTCTATCCAAAGTGTACGATTACTGAACAAAAATTACTTAATGGAATAGATAAACAACGTCGCTTCGACGCAGCTCTACATATCCCACAAAAAAACTTGTTACTGATCAACAGATTAATCTAAATTTCAGGTGTTAGAAGTTTCATGCAAACAATTCACAGTCTGGACACCAACACACTCTTGCTTTCAACGATCAGTTAGAAAATCTACATCCACTGATCTTTGTCTGATCAGCTGTAACTAAGGGGACGAGACTCGAATTCATGTGTATTACAGGTTATCAGTTGATATCTTCGAAAAAAGATTGTTCAAACCTGAGTGATCTTGCTGAGTTCATCAAATGTGCCCTTGCACTCAACACAATAGCGATGAGCCAAAGCTTGGATGGCCTTGTTGACTCCCGTATTAGCAGAAGAACTGCTGGATGCTGAAGCTCCCGCAACTATTTGTGCTGCTGTCGGTGCGGCAGCGGGTATACTCTCCTGTCACATGAAGGATAAAGGTTACCACTTTCAAAATTGTCATGATACTGTATACAGCACGGAATAAATGACAAAACAGACAGCTAAGGTTATCAATCCTAGCCCTCTTAGTTTGGTGAACATAAAGCTTCCATGCCACTAAGAGCTTGAAAAATGACACTTTCTTGTCTTCTTTTCAATACGTAGCATCGTTCGTATAGAATGTGAAATTACAGGGTAACTGAGTAATCATGGAAGGCCATCTTCCAGTATCATGGAACATGGAACAAAATAAGTCGAGAGGGTCGACTGAAACTATGCTAGAACGTGGTAATGGGCCATTCGATCTGGAGACGGTAGGTTTCTTTCTTTAGCGTCCGCCACTTGAGATTCTCACCTACCCACCCTTTAAGTACGGTTTGTATCCCGTCAAAATTGAACCATCCAAACTTGTATTACTTTTAGCTGTTCCAGTTTGTAACGTTTGAGAAATGTATACAACAAGAGCGGGATGAAGCAGGGATGCCCCTCATCAATTAATTCAAAGCAAAAATTTAAAATCATTTTCTTGGGAAACATGCTCCCAGATCTTAGTCTATCCTTCTATCTCTGACAACCTTCCCAAATAATACAACCAAAAACAGCAGCTCATGTTAGTTTTTCCTTTCTCCTTAATATCATACTTATATTTCATAGCCATTGCACTGTTCACCTGTAGTGGTTCTTGCTGTCCATGTTCGAGAAGCCTGTTTAACAGAAGGTCCAAGGGCTGTCTGTGAGACACAAGCTGGCGATAAACCCTATCTGCTCGCTCCAGCAGTGAATTGATGTTTCCGACGGCCTGTCAGCACAAACAATCCGTGAAATTGACTTTGTCATTAAGTCTGTTTTTCAAGTGCCAGTATCCAAAGGGGGACCAAATTTACATTACACTTACCAACCCCTCTGTAGGTTTCGTTTTTCCAAATTTAAATCAGTCTCTACCTTACTAAGAGTGACAATCCCTGTCTATCATGTACACGAGTTATGTAAAAATGGATCACTGAAATAAAAGGGCTTCGCCTTTCTTCCAAAAAAGGTTTCTTTTTCTTTTTTAATTGCATTGTAATAATCTCTGCGTTTTTCTCAAAATCTACCTTCTTTCGGTCCTCTTCATTCTCAATCGGGTCCACGGCACAACATGGTCTAGCTGTAAGTGTGTAGTCAAACTTGGCATATTTGCAGAATCCACATGCATTGCATAAAAATGGATCCCTCTCGTCATAGTTTATTGACCTGAAAGGATTCAACAGCGGTTTGATTGTCACTGCCCTGTGAAATCTGTTTGAAATAAGCCTACAGTGCGACAGAGAACTGAAATCCAAACCCAATACACTCCTTCCGGTCAATCAAAACAAATGAAATTATCATCAAGAGCTAATGACAGCTCAAAGTGATTAGATTATTATTTCATGGTGCAGGTAAACGGTTTCCAGAGCAGGAGATACAAGTGACCAATTGCAGTTCGCTAAAGTCTTGGATTTAACTCGCGGGGAAGTTAAACGACGCAAACCCACGAAATGTAAAAATGCTGTCGACACGAAAACTGCTCAAACGGTTAACTGAATACCAACAAAGTCATACCCTTATCTCTCTTTCTTTTAAAGACTCTCAAAGAATGAAAAAATCAACAATGATCCACCAGCGTATTACGAGTTACTTAAGATAAACCTCAAACACAACAATAACAACAACGAAAATAACAAAAACAACAACAACATCAACAACAAAAACTAAACTATAGAAAAACCGGAGAGAGCAGACAGCTAAACAAGCAAAAGGAAACAAGAAATCAAGATAAGAATAGTGAGGAATTATAGTTTGTCTTGAGATGAAGTCATCTCCGACGAGCTCCGCTACAGAATTAAAATTAAAAGCAGAAACAAAAAACAAGCACTAAACCTGCACTTGTGGCACTGGTAAACATTCTCTCCACAGTTACTGCAAACACCAGGATTAGCATTTACGGATGCACTGCAACGGGGGCACTGGAGAGTTTCGGAGGAAGCCTACATGACAAAAAAAAAATCCAAAACTTAAATTGTGCTTCTCCAATTTCCAGTCCCTTTGCGATCCTGATCACACAGTGGAGCCAGATAGCCATGAAGGACATAATATATCAAGAAATAACAACATTTTTACTCCTAGGAACGACCAATTCTCTACTAATAATAATACTAATTCTCCTTACAATTTCATCAACATGTCAAGCTAATGAGATTTAGAAAATTATCAAATAGGGGAAAGTGTCTTGATAGAACCCTAAACTTTCAGGAATAGGCAAAAAAAGGCTTGTATGGTCAAGGATAAGGAGAATAAGCTTTCAGATCTTGGAATTGAAAGATCTCTATAGGTCGGTTGACTGAAACACACACAAAGTAGCTTAAATGGTAGCCTGGATAAACTCGCTCAATACTGAGGAGAAATTACAGTGATTCAAATAAAGAACTTTGAGACAAAACAAGCACCAGTGTTTACAGGTAGAAAAAATAAAGAGTGATTATAAATCAAAATTAAAGATGCGTTAGTAAACTCCTGTTCACTTAACAAAGACACTGAATTTCCCGAACATAATTGGAAATATTGAGCTCACTTAAAGAGAAATGTACCTGAAAATTCTCGTAGAAATCAGCATATTCGATCATCAAGTTGCTGGCAACTATAGGCAGTGGAAAGTCAACCTGTAAATAAAGTAGGGAAGATTACGACATAGCCTTATAAAAGACAACAATGAAAAACTTGAATCAAACATTTCAAACCTTTAGCTCTGTTTGGCCTGGAGTGAGGTGACATTTCTTTGCTTTGTGCCACAAGGATCTCCTACAATAGAAGTTAATAGTTTTCAACACGCTTCAGAAAATAATGCGCCATATTCAGACCACTAGTTTCATTACATTTCGGTCATTTCATGGTGTTGTAGAGACCATTAGCAGTCAGCTGTTATGTTGTGGTATACTCATTGTCTCGAAATCTTAAATTTTACTTCAACAATACATAGCAATCTGCGAATGCTTTCATTATTTGAACGATTCGATATTGAAAGACCGTCAGATGTTGATTTATTTGGAGAAAAACGTTAGACTGTAAACTCAGCGTGACAGCCGGTAGAAACACGGCAAAGTTGAGAACTTACTTGTTTTTCAGTTCCACGACTGCTTGCACGGTGCGGTTGTTGTAGTATAAATTAATGGTTCGGACCTATCATAAAAAAACGAAACAAGGAAAGGGAGACGTGAGTATTGCTCTCACCCCCCCATAAAAGACTGAGAGAAAAAGAAAGCTGGCTGGCAAACGGTTTTAGCGGTTCACGCACAACACCATAGAGAAAAGGCAAATCTTAGTGAAAAAAACAACGGGGCAAAAATAATTTTAAGAAATTGTGTCTCAGGGTTATTTTGGATCAAAAAGACAACATTACCACTCGCTCATTGAGCGCCAAAAACAAATTAGCGCCTTTAGTTCCAAATGTAGTCCCCTAAACTTCTTCCTACTCGTCATGTGGATCAAAACGGTCACAAGTTAGAGCGCTGGCTAAACATGATTACGACATTAAATCAGCAAGTCAATACAGCAAGATAAAAGATGTCTTCCATGGTATCAATAAAATAGATATCTCGATGACCAAAGGACTTTTCTGTGAACAAATCTTGACAGTGTAACATTTTACCATTTTTTGCCTCTTGAGATCTGCAATCCTCAGCGTAACTCTTGAGATTGTGTGACTTCCAATCAGCTTTACAAGCTGACACGTTGTAGTGAAGCGGGAATCTCCTTTGATGGCAGACAGCTTCAGGCTCTGATAAATACGAATTGTGCAATTGAGAGGTCATTAACTTCTCTGCAAAATAGCAGTTAACATTAAACGATAGTAACTGTAAAATAAAAGTTTATAGAATGAGCCAAATTTATGAACAAAACAAGTTTGCAAGATAACACTTAGCAAACCCTCGTCTATGTCTCGGAATTGCATAACAAGTGGAATTCTTGCGACTCTCTGGTGTTTAGAAGACGCTAGGTACGCAAGGAGTCCTTCTTATTCCAATAGTTTTGTTATGGGTGAAATACATATTTTTTTTTCAGTTGAAATAAGAACCTTCGAAAAAGGTTCACGATGGTGTTATCACAAGGTGGGTGCCAATAAATGGTATAAATTTCTCATGCAGTTTAACATTTACAGCTGTTGCGTGAAATCCCGAAAAACAGCAGAGGAAGGGCTACAAAGGACGTAAATGAATAAGGAAAGTCACACCTGGAAAGGAACTTCCGGATTGTTACAGACAAGACAGGGATCACTCTCCAGATAATAGCCATCAAACTCAACAAATCCGGACAACATCCTAAACAAAAAAAAAACAACAACAAATAGCATTAACTTCCAGAAAACTCTGCAATCGTGTATGATTTTTGCGATTGCCAATTTGTAAATTATACACATCATTGAAAATAAAAATCGGTCTGAAGAAGAAAAACAATGTCAAAAAGGCATAACACACACAGGGATTAAAACTTTAAATTTAATTTATCAAACTTTAAAAACTTTTTTCCTGTATGACAAAATCAGAGATTATATACTTTAGTGTGAATGACACGTGGCACGCTACTTTGACCAACCAGTAATAACAAAATGTTGTGCACGCACATACTGACCTGTAAACGTTAGAGTTAGGATGGTTTGCAAGAACATTATTCTGTACCATCAATACTTGAACTGCCTTTACACAATATTCCTGCAACTGAAAATCACAAACTCGTCAGAATGTCTTTACGACCATATCGTCGGCGTGGTATTAGAAAGACATAGTCATTAATTGTAATGGTTCAGCTGCCATTTATTTCATATTTATTACATTAGTTGCTCTGCGAGCTACAAAGATGTAGCGAATTCTATGCTCTGATTGACTCATTGAGGTGGTGGGTCGGCCACCTTCCGCTCTCTTCCCCCTAAGAGGAAGTATTTTTATCGATGGGGTCGCAAAGCACATACTTCTTGAAGACAGCACACTGCCGTGCAAGACTTTTCAAGGAAAACTTGCTGGCGAATATAAGGTTTGGCAAACGCAATAGCGTAGTATATCCACGGTAACAAAAACAGAAGGAACAAAATGTGACAAAATGTATACAGTTTTAGCTAAACCCAACCCTTAAGAGATATTTGAAACACTTAATCGCCACCTCTTGTAATATCATCGCACGAATACTTTATCAGTTTGAGGCAAATACCTCATGAGAGCTTGATTCACACTTGATCGAAAAGTAGCCCAGAAGATCGACAAACTGAGCCGCTCGTCGGCCATAGTCTGGTAGGTAAGGCCAGATTTTCCACATCATCTTGGACAACTTCACTTGCTGGTCGTTAGTTGAGTACCTAGCAAATTCAAGTTGAATAAAAAGACGAGGTTACTTCTTAAATATGTATAACTATAACACAATAAACGCTTTGACACGCCCCGTAATGCGCCGATGAATTCGAAGCTTCAACATCCTTGCAAGCCTACAAGCAAAAAAACCTAACGGCAGCTCCAAAAACAAAAAAATGCAACCAAAAAAAATGCAAACTCTTCAGAGTAATAAGTAAAGTTTGGAAAGGGCGAGAAGAAAAGTTATGTATCACACTTTCGATCTCAGAGGGGGAATCGTTGTAGCGTTTATAATAAGAAATATGAAGAAGAGTATGTGAACCCTCTCTGTAGCTAAAAATGATTTAAAGCAATGCAAAACAAAAAGAACGTGGACATACTTGTGCATATTGTAAAGCAGTTCGTGAACCTGCCACCTGACGGCAGTCGCATTAGACTCTAAAAGGAAGGTCTGAACAAACTGAATCATCAGTTCTCCATCGACACTGTCATGTAGCAACTGAACCAGACTCTGAGCAGCTGCTGTATACAACAGATATGTCATTTTAGCAAAATTGAACTAGATCTCACAAAACAATGCATAGGAAACATGTCCCGTTTCGTTCAAGAAGAGCTCAGTCCACTCCGAAATCGATGGACTGCTCAGGAGAAGGACAGAAAGGGGCCCAAGGGGAGGATTGAAAGGGGCCCTAGCAGAAGGACAAAAAGGGGTCCAAGGGAAGGATAGAAAAGGGCCCAGGATAAAGTATCGTTTTTTAACCTTTCACTCTAAATGAGTGAAAGGTCTAAATGTCCATTCTCACTACTGGTTGTCACATTTCGTGAAATTTAGCTCTGAGAAGTTAATGTTACAAAAACAATTATTTCCTAGTCGAATATTTTTATTTTTTCTCATCACCTTTAAACTTGAAAATGTAAAAAAACAGGAGGAAGAAGTTCCCCTTTATGAATCAGTAACCTTTTGAAGTGAAAGGGTGGAAGCTTGTGTTTTTACTGAGCACGCATGTATACATATTTTCTTACATACCTTTCACTAACCGAGTTCGAGATCTGTTCTATAAATTGCGTTTTCCAAGTGGACAAAACGAGGTACCGTAACTTACAGTACGGATCGAGAAAACGAGGATTTTAAGATATTTATTACACCTCTGAGTTCAAACAGAGGGGGAAATTTTTTCAATTCAAACAAACCTTTCAATTTGACGGGCCGCACAGTGAAATACGGCCCGCTAATTGGGAGATATAATAACGTTCTTTAAACATTTCCCGTGGCACTGATGAGCAGAATTTGTTTAATTAGAAGCTAGTCACTCTTTGAGGTGAGACAGACCCCCCAAAGAGGAACGATGACAATTTACCCTACATTTTACCATGGCCTTAAAATGTGGTCAACCTACCTTCACTCCTCCCAGTGTCTCCTGAGCCTACAAAAATAACCACATTTTAAAACGCGGCTGATAAAACATATGCATGGCTTTAAAGCCACTATAAAGCCACTATAAATCCACTATAAATATTCCAAACTTATACTCTCAATGAAACAAAATTCTACGACTAGCTGATGAACTGTTCCCCTCTCTTAAACAAAAGAAACGTAACCAAAAGCATTGTTTGGTTATTTCATTACAGTGTCAAAGAACTACCCGGGACCTTAAAAGGAAACGAAAGCTTTATTCTGTGGTTAAGTGGCATGCATCATTACTACGATGCTGTCATTTTGGTAAAATTCGAAAGTAACTTTCAGTATAACTTAAAAATAAGCAAGAAGAAAGTTCACCACTTGGAATATGCAAACTATATTCAAACAACTCGTTCACCTTAGGAAGGGCACAAGAATTTCTTGCAGAATGTAAAGAAACTTTCAGTCGAGTGTTGAGAGTTAAGACTTCTTTTCTTTTCTTTTACTTTACTATGCTATTTGATTGGTATAGAGAATTGGTGCCAGTTTCTCAATCACTCGCGTTTCTTCGAGCCTTCACTAGTTTCCTAGTTTTAACGTTGAGTTCTGATTGGTTTCCTACGAAATTTCTGCCGAAGGAATCAACGTTACCTTGGTATCAGTCTAACTATGGGCTCAATCTAAAAACACCCCAACAATGGGCATCTCTTTCCTTGGCAATTGAAAGACTAACCTGAAGCCTTCTCCTTGTCCTTGTGTTTTTCTTTGTCTTTGTCAGATTCCTTATCTTTGCTCTTCGATTTCTCTTTGTCCTTGTCCTTCTTGCTCTTCTGTGGAGAGCTTGATGGCTGTGACTTCATTTCACAAATGGCATATCCCAACAACTGTAACATTAGAGGCGTGACACCCTCTTCAAACAGGAAGCTGCTCCTCAACAGAAATGGCAGGGTATCTGCAACATGAGGCCAAGAGCATCATTATCACCTTACATGTATATCTCTACATGCGTTTTAGAGCTTTTAAAACTAACATTTAACAACTAGGATTCTATCAATTGTTCACCATTTCACGACTTGAGTAAAGTAAAGTAGTTTCGCATCACTATCAGTATCTGGGCAACTGCCCACCTGCCCCTCCCCGAACCCAACATTAACCCTAACTTGTTATCAACTGACTGATGTTGAGTTAGGGGAGGGGTAGGTTGTCTACGGTACTTTCACCTTCATTTACCGTCCCTCGCACAAGGAGTCAAAACAGAGGCACATACCGCTCTGATGACTGTTACTCCGTTGCTTTCACCAGCAATGTTATCAGTCGTGATATAATAATGATACAATGGGGCATTCATTCAGGGAACACCCTTAAGACTAAGAAAAGTGACCCTTATACAAGGATTTCCCTCCAATTACGCTACCAGATACAACGTTTATAGGAGCATTTCTTTTTTAGTCTGGAGTATAATATATGGCGCTTAGAGTGAGGTGTCCCCACAAAGAGGAGTCCTACAGGAGAGGGCCCACTGTATTGATGATAAACACCAGTGGAAGATACACTGACCTGTTTCCTGAAGGCAGAATGCCTGCCAGTTGCTGATACGACTTGACGCAATTTCAGAACATGCCTTTAAGTGTTCAATCTGCATGGAAGGAAAATCGTAATGACATAACATGAATAAACAGACTCACATTGCACTGCACACCTTAATAACATCTACCTTATGACAAATACAAGAACCGAAATGCAGGGGTTTCAATAACGTTTTTCCGTAAGGGGCTGCCGATAGTGAAATAGGCAGCTGTAACGTAGGGCGAGACCCAGACACAAAAGCCTGCTCGCAGGCTCAACAGAAGGCGGTGAGCGGTCTTACAGGAGGCGGTAGACTGGGAACCGGCTTTTTATTGAAACCAATGAATAAAGGGGGTCAGTTTCTAAAGAAACCGTATTTTTGCGTTGGTGGTGGAGCATATATTTTATCAGCTGAATTGATTAGGTGAATTGGCAACCGCAACGAGTTTCTACGCTGAAGTTTCGAGCGTTAGCCCTTCGTCAGAGCGAAACTGTGTGTGGTGGCCAATTAACATTGTCAAATCAGTTGATAAAACCAAACTTATCTTTCTATTAAAACCCTGCGAAATTTTTCTCAGCAACTATGTATGGAGAAATCAGTCGTTAGTGCAAAAGCGAAATCATTAGCAGCCACGCATTTCTCTCCCAAAGAAATGCAATCGCAAAAAAATTCGACAATTACGCGTGACAAGACTCCCCTCGTGAGAGAATGATGACCGACTTTCTTATAGTTTGTTTATAGCTACCTATTTAAACTGCTCCAGGAAAAATACCCAACAACTTTTATTAAGTTTATCACATTACAAGGTAAAACAGTTAACAAAGAGGAAGCATTACTAACGCATTGCATTATTATCAATTAAAGTTGTCTAGCTATAAAATGGTACGAAGATTACTCACCAGTGTAATGAGAGTGTCATAAGGTAAGTTGATCGGAGGATTGCTCTGATTTTCATATCTAAAACCACCTTGCTTGCTCAGGTCCCTATTAAATGGTATACTCTGATGAATACCTGGGTTTAGTTGTTCAACGAGCGGACAACGCTATCCAACAGATAAATCGCTATCCAGCGGATAAAAGTAACCAAAACGTTCTGTGTTATCCACCGTAAAGAGATTTATCCAGTGGATAGCATTATCCATCCTTCGAAAAACTGGGGCCTAGTTTAAGATCTTAAAATTTGGATTAACAGAATGTCCTGAAATAAGAAAGCACCGTATCGCTAAAAATTTTTGCCAACAAAAATACAACAGCAACTACCATCACCACTACAACAAATGCTACCACACAAACAAAGTTAACAACTCTAGCTACAAGTAATTCCTAAATTTTATTTTTGTAAATTTAGTTCATTTGTTCATTTGAACAATCGTTCACATTAAAAAACAAAATAGGCTCTCCCAAAAAATGGAGATAATAGTAAGAGTAATGGCTTTAGGAGAAATCTTTTTTACATTTTATAGATTAATTCTGACTTTCTACTACAAAAACAGACTTTGAAATCTCACCTAACAATTTTCATGTGTGATTTGAGAGCATGAAGGTCTCTCAACTGACGATAGCTTTCTTTGGATCCACACAGGAACAGCAACAGCTACAGAAAGAAAAAGATGATTAACGATTATGTGGAGGAGGAGAACGAGGCACAAGTCAAGATTCAAGGTTATATGAATACAGTCCAACACATCGTGGCATAAAATGCTTGAATCTGAGGCAAGCCTGCTCTAAAAATTCTCACCAGTTATTTACCTCGCACTAATTTAGAAAGCTCTAAATAAATTTTGGAAGGCCCCAATGTACCTTTTTAGAGGAAAAAGAATTTCTTCTCGAACGGAAAACACATCTATTACAAATTTCTGTTTCTTAGGATGACAGAAAAGGTCAGATCTTCTCCTTCGCCATAGATGAAAGTGAATGGTAACCTTTTAGAATGATTACTTACCTTTCGCACTTGTCTCCTCACAAATGGAGTCTGCTGAATCAAAAGGTACTAAAATACAAGAAAAGGATATTCAGATGTTACAAGTGAAATATTGCGTGTATGATATAGGTTGTGTTGCGTAAAACGCAATCTATGCATTGCTAAGATTAAACCAAACTAAGTCAACATTTCCGTAAATTCTGCCTCACTAACCTCGCACAAGATTTGATACCATTCCTCGCCAAACTGTGGGGAATTGTCAAGATGAAGAGAATCTGCAACCTTTTTCACCTGCAATAGAACAAAGTTTAAACCAATCATCTAGACTTATGCCTACAATTATGACTTTACTCTATTTGTCTCCGAGTGAAAGGACTAACACAACTACATTACTCACACTTATAAGTGTCGTACATCCATTTGACATAAAATTACTCTTATCTTCACAATACGTATGCGCAATGTAATACCAACAATCAATTTTAATGCACGATTGGTTGTTTATTTTTTAAAAGTCGATTGTTATCACACTTACCTGGTATGGAAGTCTCAGAGCCATTTCGGTTAGTAGCTGTGGATAAGCTTCAAAAACATCTCCGGCGTGGCCCTAAATGACGAATGAACTTAGAACAATGTCACAAATATTTACAATCAAATCCAGTCGCTGTAGAACTTTCTTTGTGTTGCATAAACACAAGCGAACTTTGAACAATATTGGAACGTTTACATTTCGCAAGTGATTTGATACAACGTGCAGTAAATATTAAAGGCAGACAAGTGCATTTCGAAGGGTGTCTGAAGACCACAACAACGGCCAACAGGAACAAACGAGAGTATCAAAAGCAGTTGTTATGAAGTCAAAGTAAAAAGAAGGAAACTGTCAGAAGCAAGCATTTTGCGACTGATTGGCTGAGAAGTTGGCGCGAGTTTTTCTTCACCAATCAAACAGCGCTGTAGATCTTAGCCAAAGTCGTGCCGTATAACTTTAGATCCTCACTTGAAAATGTCTCCTTATCATTGCTCACCACTCAGTGGGTTTCTTTCATTGGACTAAATTAACTAAAGTATACGAAGTCTCCGTCGTCAGACAAAACGATCTTCTTATTAACAGAACGCACCTTGACATACTGTCTCAAGAAGAATGGTGACATGTCCGGCGGTGGGCTTGTGGGATGAGGCTTCAGTAGTGCTCCACCGATACCTGACGGCTCCTCCTACATAAACAAAAATAATTTTTTTCTTAAAGTTTAGAGACTCGGTTGAAAGCGTTCAAAGTCGAAAGCATGATGTTATATCTTAGATGGAAAGTCTCTTATCAAATAAAGTGCGAAATTGGAAGACTCGAATACAGAAGAAATTTGCATGATTGCAGAGTTAATATTATTCAGGTCAACTCGAATACTTCTGTTCTTTGCCTAAAAGTACCATGTGCATTTCCAATTAATATCAGAGTACTATTTTGCAATAATATAAGATTCTTGTTTGACGTTTTCGTCGCTTCAGTTGGACGTCCGCATAAGCTGTTCAAGCAACAATGACAAGATCTTGGTGTTTTTTTTTCCAAATGGAATCTTACTTCCTCGTGGCTGGCCACCTCTCTCCAGTGCTCCAAAAGAGTCTTCAGAATGTTCAGACAGTTACTTGTAATTCCCACCTCACACAATGTGGCAGACGTTTGTCTACACACCAGAGAAGAAGCCTTGAGGGGAAAAATATCCGTCGTGAGTTACTGGTGTCTAGTTACACACGTTTTGAAAACAAATTTGCAGTTATTCTAACAAACTTCTTTTCTACTGACAATTCTTGCAGTTCATTCCACTCTCATTCTCTTTTTTTACACGTTTGAAAGGTTGCACTTTTGGCGTAGCTGTTGAATAAGCACTGTACTAAACAACTAAGCACAGATGTAAAATGGATCACTTGGCTGTCGGTTAAGATCCTCTAGCTTCGGTAAAAAAAACTCTCCTATTTCAGAAAATTTAGAAAGGAAAAGGTGTACATGGCCCCTTTCTGCTTTTAGAGAAAACGCGAGTGACCGAGACAACATACGTTTAAAAGGCCAATCACTTAGCAAAGTAAAGCAAAACCGATGCAATCCTGTATTACTTCCACAGTTGATACTAAAAATTTCGCTTCCGAGCCCTCAGGTTTCAACAAAATTGACAATTTTCGTTACCTCAGAACCAGTTTTTGAACTGGACTTTGTTCTTGACATCAGTACACTCAACAGCCTCATGATAATCAGCCAGACCTCGTGTTGTTTGGTTCGGGATGAAATGTGTTTCACATCCTGCTAAAATAATGTAACAATGGTGTTTCCATTGTAAGTTTCATACCCATAGTATGCAACTGTGATCGACCATAATGGTGACTACAAACTGAAATGAATGATTACCAGCTTGAAACTATGCTGGGTAATACCAAGGGAAAAACTGCAACGAACAAACTCTTATTTTCTCTCTAGTTCACTTATGAAGCTTGCTAATATATATTATAAGCTAGCTTCAGTTACTTTGTTACAACCCAAACATCTTCATAAATTTCCGAGCAGATAACATAGTGTAAAGAATAATCAGTAAACAAGCAATCTCTTGTGACATTTCTTATGAGAGCCGTAAAAAAAAAACAAATTAATCAAAACAGACAAACAAAGGAAAGAAACTATCACATGGAAGCAATGAAGACGCAAAGTATAAACAAGCAACCAAACAGCTAAAGGTGCAGCAGAACGCGAGTGACTAAATCGCGATTAGTTTTAGTTTTTTTATTTTATTGGTTGAGAGGACGGTAATAAAACAGGAAAGTCACGAACAGTTACCATCTGATCCAGCTTCAGCTCTTCAAGGCATGTCGACAACACTTTACTCAATGCTGCCCTGTCTCTCTCGCTGTCTTCTAAATCAGAACTCAGCATCAGCAAGACCTAAAATTAAGAAATTGGATCAGATGTTCATCCTGCAGCGTACAGTTTATATCACATTTCTATTATGTGTGGCGACGAAATCTATGAGTTCCAGCGTAATCGGTTTTTTCTTGTTTGAATTGTCTAAATTACAGAGCCACACCCAAAATATGATCGTGCCAATTTTTGTTCTTGGCGCTCAAAATGTTTGAAGAGGCACAGGGTGGATTGCTATGACCTGCAAACCTAGTAATCGTGTTAATGACAAAGTAATTTTCGAAAACATATGCTTTTTTTTCTTTGTACGCCTACAGATTGTTAAGGTTTTAAAGGCATTCGGTCATCACAAAACACCTACTTATACTTCTCTACATTATTCAACCTCGTTGTTTTTTAAGTGTGTAGCTTATAGAAGTGACATGATAGTTGATGTCCTAACGACCATAATTTCTCCACGAGTAGTTTCGTGAATTTTCTTGGAACTATCCTGCCCCGGAATGAAAAAAATAGAGCATGTTTAAATAATGTCCTATCATCAAACCTGCATGAAGGGTATGGCCTGGACACCACCAACATCTTGCAACTTAGGAAGATGAAGCAACAGTTCATCCAAAAGCAGAAGCTTCAGCGAGTGTAGCTTCTCATGATCCATCTGTGATTCTTTGTCTCCTGACGCATGAGCCCGACCCTGTTCCCCATCTCCATTACTCCCGCTACCAGGTTGGCTGTCCAGAGCAGCTGAAAAGACGAGCAACAGAATCAATCAAATAATTTTATTCTTTGATAGGTCTTGACCGTAAATGATAGTTTGCATAGTCTATGTAGTTCCTGTTCTCTATTTGAATGACTAAGTGTTACACGCCTCATGAATAATCTTTGCCCAAGGTTGTTCCTGTCTACTTCGCGAGAAACAACTATTCTTCCATGACGGAATAACAGTCCACCGCACGTGAACACCCTCTCTACTCATCACCCCAACCCCTCTCCCAACTTGTATTCCATAACTATTTCCTTGATCAAGTCACAGAAGTGACAAAGCAAAATGCGCCTGGGAATCCCCTTTACTTCCGGCCTAGTCGGAAGTAAAGAACAGACCATTAGGAAATAAGTCGCCTCTCGACTCAACAACATCCAGAACTGAAGGATAATATACTAACCTGCTTGCTCATTTCCCACGGTGACAGTTTCTATGCTTGTCCCAGTCTCCGCAGAAACTGAGTCCACACTGCTTCCACTTTCAAACTCAGCCCCACCATGTCCCGTGTCTGGTGGCAGAGGTGACCTTGGAGCACTATGCCCTGCTGAAGAGCCCTGGGCACTACAAGGAGGAACTTCATACTCATCTTCGCTTCCTTGACCTAATCATGAGTGGCATATGGATACTCGTAAATAACAACCACCCAAAAAATGAAAAGGCAGATAAACAGTGGTTTTAAACGATGACGTTTAAGCGATCGTACTTTATCGAACCCTCCACTTTGCTAAGACATAAGGCTAATCTTCGAAATGTCAGTATTTTAGAATTCGCTGCGTTGGTTTATCTTACTATTTCTTCAAGTTAATAATCACATAAGTACTTCCCTTGTCAGTCAATGCAGCCCAATAATTTCCTTATATATTAAGTAGATGAAGGTAACTTTGTATGAGTTCAGGAAAATATCAAAACTCCATTTGCAAACTGCTCAAATCAAACAATTTCTCGGTACGTTTACCTGAAGCTGTATCAGACGACATGGCAGCTTCAACGGGCATTCCGATAGCTTGAGCAGCAGGAAGTGGCAAACCAGGAAGATTGAGACCTTGTCCACTCGCTTGGTCCTGAAGGCTAAGAGCAATGGCAAGCTCCACCATGGCTTCGTCATCTGCATCTGGAGGCAGATCCAACATGCCTGGTAAGCCACCAGCACCAAGAAGTAAGGCCTCTAGATGACTGGCGGCACTTGCTATGGATGGCACCGCTGCTGATGGCTGGCTTTGTTCTTGAGCAGGCTCTTCTGGTGCAACCTTCAGAACAAGAGCGAAATTATTTTTCAGAGAATAAAATTGAGTTAATGACCTGTTCGCTATCAGCAGTGCTCGTGACAAAAAGGCTGGGAGGCCAAAACATTAATATTCAACATGCAGGAGGCGTAACGTTGGCTGTTTACAAGCAAGGCTTAGAAAACTACCTGGAGACCTCCCGGCCGTGGGTTAAGTCTTAATCACATTGCAAAGTAAAGGATGTGTGTCTGGTGACGGGAATTGTTACTTTTGGAACGCAGTTTATTTCCTTTGTGCCTGAGATTATTGATTAGCCGCCTGATTGCTTGTGTTAAGTCAGTGTTTGATTACGTCAAGTTTTTTGTTGCTGTATCATTGCTAGTTGTTATGTAATTTAGTTCACAATTCACTCATATTACACGCCGATGATAGACTTCTATTGCTGTAAAAGTATCGTGCGCTCCGCTACCGAGAGTTCACTACTTTGTCGTCTTCGCTACACTTTTCAAGCACTTAAGGAGCTCGACCAAAGTAAGTTACTTTTATTGTTTTACGCTCAAGTTAGTTTATTGTTTGTTTTAATTATTAGTTGATTTCAGTATAGATTACTGTATTGTGTCATAATGTGCTAATCTACCTAGCCATCGTTACGAGACGCTATCCTGTGACTCTCCGGAAGTCACAAGAATTAGTATACAAAACTTCTAAATCACAAATTCGATTAAAAGAATAAACACCAACAAAAACCACCAAATAATATCTAAAAGGAGCACTATACCTCATGGGCCTCCGCAGCTTGCTGCCTCCCTGTCTCAGTTTCATCCGCTTCAGTTCCACTTGGTTCGTCTGGAGGGGTTCCATCGGCTCTATCTTGGTCTGCTTCATCATCTTCCCCATCAAATTCATCTCCTCCAGCTCCTTCCCCTACGGGTGTGTTGCACTGAAGAGGGGAGTTACCCGTCCCATGCCGGTGTTTGTGTATGAGTCGCATCAATGCCTGTTTGCAGGCAAAGCTGACAGATTGGTCCTAAAGAGATGACAAATAAGAAATTATGGTGCTAGTGTTCATTTAAAGGAGTTACAACAAGGCTAATGCATCTAAAAAATTCAGCCTAAATTTCATGTTGGTCATAAGCAGTTGGAGTTTTCATCTTTTTATCTTTAATTTTATCTTCTAGTCATCAAGCATCCTTGCTCGCTCTTGTTTTGTAGTCACCTTTTCCGTCTTTTGGTGATTGTGCCAGACAAATAATTTGTAGTAGTTTTGCATAGCATAAAAAGCGACTCAAAATTTAGCGCGAAAGTTGTTGGGCACCTTCGTCCCCAATACTATTGACAGAAAAAAAAAATATGAAGACACATAATAAAACAATGGAATTATAAGAACCATGTGATAGGATACCACAGTAAATAATTAAAAAAATGGTTTCCTCGATTACAAATGAAGAGAGGAATAACTCACGGAATTATTTGATATGTGATAGTACGAAAGAACGTAAACGAGTAACAAAAACTCTAAATATTGAGCATGAGCCAAAGCCTCCAAGAGGAAACAAATCAAGCAGTTCAGAGAAGATGAAATAAAAAAATAACTTCAAACTTGAATTACAAACTGTGCGCACATTTTCATCATACATACCTCGCACAGCAGCATTTTCACGTACTGTTTGACGGCAAGCCCAACTTTGGAGGGATCTGCTATTGCAAAGGCATGGACGATGTCAACAAGAGCTGTCACCGTCGACTCCACATTTTGGAATCCTGAAATTAAAACAACCTTTTATCACTATTCTGCAAAACAAAATTCTTTTAAAAAAGACTGATATGATTTTTTTCCAAACTTGTGAAGACAGCACCTGCGCACGTGCAATGCACGTGCTTTAAAATTTGAGCCCTTGCAAATTGTACATTCTCTTTTTGTAACCTTACCAATAGAAGACAATGGCGACAGAACAAGGTTTACAGGTTGACAACTGTGCAGCTTCCAAAAGGCATTCATTAGACATACAGCGAAATGGTGCTTCTCATCACTCTCTGGCAAGAGAAAACAATAAATTTTAATCGACAACGCTATTATCGCATTCAATTTCATTTCTGTGAAAGGTTATGTTGCTCCAAGAAGGAGTCGAACCTTCAACCTTCCGATTAGTGCTTTGGATGCTCTAGCGCTAAGCTGTAGGAGACTCTTGGTTCATGGTGACATATTTCCTGCAGACTGCTTAAAACGTCCTACACCAATTCGTCAACCAATCGTTTATGTTCACAAATAAGACTTACACCAACGACGATAAGATCTGCCAAATGGGAATTTTGTCAGTCTTATTAACGCCCAAGTCGCAAATGAGGTTAGGTGCCCGAGGGGCCTAGGTGGGTGCAACCGCAGTCGCACCCCGAGGCGTTAGAACACCCGACTGGCCAACCCAACCCGTAACCCAGCCACGAAAAAAATGAATTGCGTTGAGTTCGTTAAACTGAAAAGAGGTGAACACAGTGTGACTAAACAACAAGTTCCAAACAAAGCATGCACTGTCATAATTGAAAACAGTAGAATTTTATAGTAAGAATAATCGTATTAAATAGCGATAAATGTATCGAGCCCACACTGTCGTTACTGATCCGTTCGTTAACTTACCATCTCTTGTCTTTTGTTCAGGCAGGACGGTATACTTTGCCAGATTACTAGGTCTTGTAATGGCCACAGATCTAGCACTCACCACCAGATGCTGGAAACTCTCTACATCCAATTCACTGACATTCACCACAATCTCTTCGGTTTCTTCTTTATTTTCTGTCTCAGGTGTCTTTTCAACTTCTGTATCTTTCTCTTCTTCCTTTGTTTCTTCTTCATCACAAGGACTTTCAAGCTTACAGAGGAAGTTTACTACTTGTGAAAGCTGTGCCTGATCCTGAAGTAAACAAACGCTATTTAACCAGCAATCTAGATACATGTTACAAAATGTTCATCTCTAACCATTACAAATAGAAGAAAGCTTGAAAATAGCCCTGAATGCCTTGGAATGACTGCCCCGTTAAAAACCTTCTATTTATTCCCTTGTTCAACACAAAAATTTGATTTTACATCATAAGTCATTTTGGGTTTTATTCCGCACACTCCTAAAATCTTATCTACAGTTGTCTTCTTCATGCTTATCAGCTCTGCAAAATGAACGCCACAAAGCAAGAACTATACGTTTCATCCAAGAACACTACTATTTTTTATACCGGGTATCCACATTACATATGTTTATTCTTAGAACCGCCCCTGGGCAAACAAATGAAGAAAATGTTGGACAGTAATCAGCTCGGGGACATCATTTGGAAATTTACAAGACTATTATCCATCAAAGAAACCGTAAGGGGAATCACCAGTAAGGGATCACTATTACGGTAATGGGTGTCATTTCATATGCAGTTCGTGGAGACAAGCACTCTTCTTTGCAATGCAGAGCAACAAGATCTACTGTAAACACTGGCGTGTAAACCACACTCGTAGATAAGCTACTATCAAATTTGGCAACTCAAATTTTGGAAAAAAGGTTTTGAAGAGAAATCGAAAGAAATCACAGGTAGAGTCGTAAGAAAGCTGCTTTACGTTGGTTGCTTTATCTGGCCTGTACCCGTGTAAACTCGCTGAAAACGGAGAATACTTTGAAACTGTACCTTGTGGCTGTGATAAGAAACTTTGGACGGATGTAAAGTGGCGAGGAGAGTCTGGGCTTGATGTTGGACACTGGATGGCATAGCACTGGTCATGAGTGAGGTAGCAGCATCAAGTGCCGACTGCCTTGAGGACCCATCCTGAGACACAAAGCTGGAGAAGCAGCCATCGACCACCTCCAGTAAGTGCACCACCAGTCTGAAACAAACAAGTTGTCTAGTTCTACAATGGAAACTTAAATATCTGACAGGAATAAACCACACAGTGACAGTCACTCCTGAGCCTGCAGTTACACTCACATTTACTAATAAATACCACAATGGTGACCTTCATTTTTGTTTAAAAAAAATTAAAAAAATTAAAAAAAAATTAAAAAAAAACCAAGACGCACAGTGTCCAGTATGAGGTACAATGTTGAGGTCATCATACAGCCAAACCCCTGTAACCATTATGCCCTATACATGTCTCAAACATGACCCGGGTTGAAAGCAAGGACACACTTCAGTATAACAATCAAAAGTGAAAAAAGTAGCCCCATTGATAAGCTACCCAAAAGGGTAATTATAACAGTAGTTCCCTTACTTGTCAGAGGGTGTCATTGGAGGAACTGAGTTTACTATTTCCGTTTCAGTATCCACACTAGCTGCACTGCCCAGACCAGGCGTAGAAGAAATCTCCTCCTGAGGATCATCAGGCCAACCAAACGCCTCTTTTGTTTTGGTATACACCTTCACTGAGTCCAACATGGTCACTCCTGATGGGTCTAAAGACTGGCCAACTAAAGAGGCAAATACAAGATAATAAGTGTGAAGCTCCCCTAAACTGTGCCAAGCATTCAGTTAGTATAATAACCGATAACCTGATATGAACTGTTCACAGAGTTTATAATTACATGTATATGTTCCAGATTTTGTACAACTGTCTGTGCGTAAACTCTTATTCATGGAGACAAATCTGGACCTGTATGATTGAGCAAGCGCAGGCTACATGTGTTTTCAAAGACAAGGGCAAATCTAAGGTCCTTAAAAAGACTATTTCAGAGCAAATGACGAAGGACTAACGCTCGAAAAGTCAGCTTTAGAAACTCTTTTACAATTTACATCATCAATCCAGTTGATAAAACAAAATTATCTCGTTTTTCACATACATTTTTCAATAAAATCCCCGGAAAGCAAGAGAAACAGCAAGGGCACAACAATTTTGCGGGAAACGTGGTGGAAGATAAAAACAAATAAGAATCAATATTTACTTACTGAACAAAGAAAACTTTTTATCAGCAGTCAATGATTCCTCTCTTGTAAATGGAAGATCAAACCATCTATTTCTCGTTAGTGTCAACTGAATAACTCTGCCAAAGATTTCTACAAAGGATGGCGCTTTCTCCACTGACTGACAGCCAATTTGAATTCTCACACCAACCATTATAACACGAGGGTTTGTGTTAGTTATCTCAATATTGAAACCATTTGGCTGTAAAGTAAAAAATTGAATACATTTAGACCAGTTTAACACGATGGTAACACACCCACACATTCAAAGCAGTGAAGAAACTGGTATTAACACTTCCCATACCAGACTTTTGATCATCAAAGACGATAGAAATAAGTGACGAGTGAAAAAAAGCTAGTGTGTCAACAAACTTTTACTGCCATTCCCCAGACAACTCCTAGTTTTGTTCCAAACACTTGTGTACTCATCTCCACTGACCAAGAGCCAAGAACAGACTCCATTTTTTCGCTCTTAACAAAGGACTAACATGATGTCAGTTTTTCTGACATAAAACGTTGCAAAATGATAACTTTAGTCTTCTAACCCCTGGAGTGACTAGCATCTTATCTCTCCTTACAATGTCACCCCTCAATCACCAACTAATGAAACTCTTGATTGTTAAACAAATTTTCCTTGTCAGCAGCTTAGGAAATATACTGGGAACAGCATGCATGTTGATGTTAGCGTGTAAAGGATTAAAGGTCCTTTTCATACATGTAAGTCCTCGCCCAAGTTTAACTTCAATTTTCTGTGTTATCCAACAACTCGATCAGCGCATAAAAGAAGTGTAACCTAACGCCTATATTTCATGTTGTAACAAGCAAAGTATGTTCAAACCTTTGTACTTGCGATATACATTCCAGCAGTCATTAGTCTGTGTTTTACTTGCTGCACGTTATAAACTTGAAGAATATCTCCTCCGCCAAACTCAACTTCATTGAAAAATGGTTGACAGTGCTCAAAGAAATCCACTGGGAAACTGACAGCTGTGGATTTAACTCTGGCTTTGGATGTTTTCTTCTTGCGAACAGGCTTCACTATGTTGAGGGGCCTATACAGGAGCAGAAGAAAAAACGGTAAAATAAATTATCGTAGTCATCGTAATAATTATCTTCCTTTTTAATAAAAATTGACTCAAATTTGTAATTAAACTGATAGAGAAGAGTACAAAAGATTGATCTCGTAGCGGTTTACTTCAAAATCTTCCAATTGATTTATATGACTTTTTACTAAGAGGCTTTGCGCGTTTAAATGCGTTTTGGTCCAGGGACGGTTAAATGACTTCGGCGACGGTGAAGCAATCGTAATGGAGCTCAAGAAAGTCCAGTGACGGTTAAATACGTCAAGTGACCGTAAAGTAAGCTCGCTAACGGTCAAGGAAGTCCACAGAGTCTCAGTGGTAGAGCACCAAAGCGCGGTATTGGAAGGGCTGGGGCTCGATTGCTTGAGAGGATTCAGAAGCTTTTTTCTTTATTCCGCGCTTGTGACGAGACGAAAAAAGCGTATTTCTCTATACTCAGAATTTTTTATATAAATACCGACCACTGACCTCACAGGTTGGAATTCAGGAGCCATCCAATAGCCAGTATGCTCAGCACTGGCCATGAATACACGAAGGCTGCCATCTTCGCAAAGGAGAATCATGGTGGTGCGTAGCTGATCAGACGTGCTCACAGAATGGCGGATAGCTACCATGTCTTGAGTTTTTGCTTTAGATGATGTTGCTTTAATCTCCTGGATCTGGTGAACAGTGAGCCATTTCAAAGCTTTAGATCTCCTTTGTGAAAACGTTACTGTAGATTGTTAGGAAAGGTTGCTACCAACAGATATCACACATGCACAATGCACAGATTGAATAATGATACATCTGAAGCCTCGGAAACTGCTTTTCAAGACTTTGAACCAATCAAGTATCATTTTTGATGCCCAAAATGTTTACGACAGTAAGTACCATTTACACTTGCATGGTTAATACTGGAAGCAATCTACACACTTTCACTTACAAATTTACAACTATATCATCATTAATTGACATCCCTGAATACAGCTTAATTCCCTTGTGAATATGGTTTAGTTGTTTAACGTTATTTTAAAAGTTCCCTTTACCAATATTTGATGTGGTTTGACCATCAACACCACAGGAACACCAGCTGTGTGAGTCAGACAACACACCAGTCCAGGATGCTGTGGCACTTCGCTCCACTGACACAGAGCAGCATACTGAGAGTTTTTATTTCCACCTGAACTGCTCTTGAAGTTCACTGGAAACATCTTCTTAATTTCCTTTTGGTCTTTGCTCCAAGGAGCAACAAACGTTTTCCCTGTAAAAAGTGATAAATGTACCATTCAGCCACAACACAACTTCTTATGCAAGGGTGCACACTGAACATTGATACCGGGAAGGTAAAACATGTCACGGATAAACCTCTAGTGTGTTTATGCTTTCATACTGAAAGTTTAGAACCAGACAAAACAGAAAGAGAAGCCCCTAAGCTGCAATTGATTTTGTGTAGCTATAAGTATGTTTAACTCGTGGACATTATGACGCTTCTAAAAATTTCTTAGGAATTTATGCTACCGCTGCTGTTTTCCTTTTTCCCTGTTTAGATTTTGGTTTATTTGTTTTATCGCTTTGATGGTTCGAAAACTTAAAAGTGGAACTATTACAGTTCATATCAATACATTATACTTTTCTCTACGAGTCTTAATGACTGAATGAAATCAAATACACCTCTACTATACAGACTCACCGCCCCCAACCCCCCTTGGAGAGAAAAATACGTTTACGGTGTATAATAGATACAGCTGCTATTTCATTCACGCAGTGCACACAGCCATTACCTTGACTGTAACTAAAGAACAGCAGCTGTAAGATGTGAGAGTAATACACTGACACTCCTCCGCCGGCAACTTGGCCATTGGAATCTTGTAAATCAGAATGTTCAATGGGTAATGTATTCGTCAGATAAAAAGGGCCATTGATTGCACTGCTGGTTTCATCCATAGGCTGAAGATATAACTGTCCTCCTGATGACATTAGTATCAAACTTCGATCGGTGTCATTAAAAATGAAGCTGATATCTCTGATCTTTCCACTTGGTAGCAGGAAGTAGTACAGAGGACTCAGCGCATCTTGAGACAGATCATAAATCTACAGAAAAAGAACAAAGAGACACAGTGCCAGTTTACAGAGTTAAGAGTGCTAGAAAGACCCTTGCCAGGGCTTGAACCAAACCTTTAAGCGGTAAGAGCCCAACATGCTTAAACTTTGTTTAGTATAGTTTAACACAAACACGTTTGAATTTTAACACAACAAGACAGACATAATCGTGAAAGTCAACTTGTCTGTCTTGTTGCGTTGAAATTCAAACTTGTGTTTGCGTTAAATTATGCCTGATATTACGTCTCTTGCCGAATTTAAGAATTACCTTGGTTCATTAGCTTAATAAGAACGTGCCAATTTGTATAGTTAACGTTTTATTCTGGGTTGTACTTAATGTAGCTTGTAATATTTAATTTTTCATTTTGTAAGAGGTTGGTGTGTTGCCTAACCGGCTTTTACAAACCTTATTGAGATGGTGATGATGATGAATTAAATATTACCTTAACAAAGTCGGCAGTGACAAGAGCTAGTTGTGTTTGTGACCCGGGAAGCCAAACAGCTTTGATGATAAAATTTCCAGTCTCCAGTTGAGGATGAAGAGCAAGGTGATCCACCACAGATCCAGAACTGCTGAATGTCAGCACATGGCAATCCTTCAGTCCACACACTGCCAGAAAGTCCTCATTGCAGGGGTTCCCTGAGATAGATAAAACTGTAAAGGGTACCTGAGCTGTTGCAAGGCGTGTCAAGGTTAGTTTTCTCTTGCTGGAATCAGCTTGCTTTAAGAGAGCTGATAATTGAAGAACTGTAATCTAAGAAACAAAAATAACCAAAAAATTATTTAGTACCAAAAACATGAAAGTACTTTACATTTGTATAATATTGAAATGAGCAACAGCACAGTGCATCACATCAGTTGAGAAAATGTGATCAAAAGGGTTGAAAGGAAGATTGTTTACCTATTTAATTTGCGCAAAAATTGTTTTCAGGTGGCTGGTTTACTGAACATAAACAGGATATGACTTGTGAGTACTTGTAAGTGTAATCAACACTTTCACACATTTAGGTAGATAAAGATAGCTTACTCTGATTTCTCATTGACTCCTTATAATACAAACGTTTGCTCTGAATGGCTATTGAAATAATTTGTGTTCTGATTTTACAAAATTCAATCAAAAAGCGCCAATACAGGTGCATGTGCAAAGAAATAACTAATTGTCAGAGAACTACCTTGCCCTTTTCATGGCTAACGGCCAGATGTTGCCTTCTCCCTTTTGGCGATGCCAAGCAACACATGGCAACACGCCTCAGGACATGTGCACCGATCAGCTGTCGGATGGTTTGTCCTTGTTCTCCACTGAATGTCATCCTTACATTCTCAAAAGCTCCTTCTTGAGATCCCAAAGTTGGAACCTGAATTTTTTACGGAACAAGAAACTGATAAAAGTGACAAACACCAACTACTTATGCGAACAAATACTTGATTATCTACAAGGTTAATTTTGTGAAATGCATCAAGTGATTGAAGAAAATCGCGACAGAAAATAACATGAATTCCATACTTCCATCACAATTTTGTAAATCCATTTATTTTGAGTACATATGTTTTAGCATTGGTTAGAAATAAAACCACGAATTTAACTTCTGCTGAGGTGGACAACCATCAAAGTGGTACATGTACGTATAAAAGAAAATGGTAAAAGGGGTAAGAAGATGACTTAGGACACCAACTTCAGTGTACCATTAAAAAAAACTCTAGATAAGCTCTGATTTTCAAGATACTGGGAAAAAAGCTCTTAAACTAAAAACTAACCAGAAGTTGATCAGTATTCTCCACGCTCTTGTCCGTCAAGTGCAGTTCTTTCATAGAACCCTTTATAGCCTTGGACACTCCCATTCCAACACTACTGGGCCCTCCCGCATCAGGCCCCATCAGCCACTGAAGAAGGTCTAAGGTAGTTGTTATCACAGAAGAGTTCTCCAGTTGGCTGACCAGTCCAATCTTGTGCTTCTGTGGGTAAAACAAGTTGCCTACAATTATTTTTAAGTTAAAAGGGAAAGTATTTTCAGAGAAGACCATCGAGCAATAGGGAAAGAAAGCTTAGCTTCACAACATAAAATGTTACTACAAGAAAAAATGCAGTAAAGGTAGGTTTTATTTCATATGGAACACACTAAAGTTGATCCACAGTAATGTGACTTTAAGGCAGCTGCTTCTAAATTTCCGACAATTCAGTTCATTTTGGGCCCATGATGTGAGTTGAGCTTATTATATAGGTCACACCCTTCCAAAACTATCTCACCAATTTTAATTACAAAAATATGAAAAACTTAATCTCTAAGATCAATTATCAAACCTCAAGCTGCTTTGCCAAGGCTTCCACAGACTTAGACGTAAGTGCTGAATCTTCAAGGCCACCATCATTTCCCGTTCCACTTGAACATGCTATTCCAGGAGTAGCAGCAGCTGTAGATAAGCTTGCTCCAGAAACCGAGGATGATACTTTACTAGAGGTGGAACCTTCAGCATCATCATGTCCTTCATCCATTTCTCCTGTGGCAAATGGTGACGGTGGAACAGCTACCTGACTATCCCCTCCACTGCTTGGGGTGCGTTTAACCAAAGCCTACCAAAGAAAGAGTGGCTTACTTTATCAAATGATCTGACGAGCAGCATAATCATTCAAAAGATTGTTATCTATCAAATATGCGTGTATCTTAAATGGCTTCGCAGTAAGGGTATTTCTCAAATATGAGGTTGATTGGAACATTGAAGTGTTTGGCCAGCGTGGCCTGTGCCAGCCCAGTTTGCGTTTAATACAATAACCAAGTCAATCCAATATGCAATCAATTCGATTGATACAATTGCAACAGGTACACCACCTAGTGTATCTTACATAAAATTTAAATAAGAAGGAGGAGGAAATTATACGTTTGCCTGCAACTTAGTTAAGTCTCGTGTAATCTATATAGAGTAACAAACCTTTGCTGTAAACTAAACATAATTGATGTGAGTGCAACAGTTGAACATTTCCTTACCCCCTAAAGTAAAAAAGTAAGCCTTTATATGGGCCTAAGTGGCCCATGGGGCCAGTGCTTACCTCCGGTTTTCTTAGCATGAAGCGGCTAGGAGTATTGCTACTCCCCCCTGGATGGGATGCTAGTCCATCGCAGGGTTACCCCCAGCACATTTGCTGGTACCCATTTGTACACCTGGGTGAAGAGAACCATTGTGAGAGTAAAGTGTCTTGCCTAAGAACACAATGACCCCGGCCAGGGCTCGAACCCGGACCACCTGATCCGGAGTCGAGCGCACTAACCCCTTACCCCTGCCTGTCCTTAATCAGGCTATCCAACTGAACTTCCTTACCACAATCACAAACTTAATTGCTTTGTTATAGATGGTTCAGACAATTAAAAACAATACATGTACCTCACTGTACAGCAATCCAATAGAGATGGTCTTTACAGAAGAAACTACAAACCATTGACTTGTAGGCTGTACAGCACATGTGATACGTGATAACATCCAAATAACAAAGAGAATCAAAACACCCAAGCATTCACATTTTAGGCAAATGTTTGATATTGAAAGGGACAACACTTACCGTACAGCTTCCATCTTCTTTAGCCCCACAATCACAAAAGAACGAACCATACTTAGCGTATGAGATGTCATGATCTTTATGGCAGACTTTAGCACATATTGTGCACACGCCAACCCCATCATTCATCTTACAGGTGTGGCAGTGGTACCAGTGTTGGTTCATAAACTCTTTCTGAGTCATTGTAAATGTACAGAGCTTGTTGCAAAGAGAATCTTCATCCTTAGAGGGAGAGATAGAATCATCACAATTTTAGAGGAATCCACGCCAAAATACATGAACAGAGTAACATATGATGATCTTGAGGAAAGGACATCCTATATGACTTTTATTTGACAATAATGACCTTAGAAACATTCTCAATGAAATTCTAAGCCTACTTTGGCCTAATGTTAAGAAACTGGGGAGTGTAAATAAATCTGTCAAAAAATTTCTACTCCTAGTGAAGCCAACTGGACTGGACCATAAAAGACATAAGGGTCTACAAAGCACCTGACTATAAATTGTCGTGATTTCATGGGACATAAAAAACAAGAATAAGACCCTATCACTATTGACCCTAATTTTCTTTTCACTTACCGACTCTTCTCCACCAGAGTCTTCGTCATCACCACCCATATCATCCATCCAATCAGATTCTACATCCTGCAGCAATGATTCACCATCAACTGGGCACAGTGATGGTGATGGAGGGCATTCCTTTTCTGAGGAGTATTTAAGAGCTCTCATTAGCTCTGCTAGATACCGGAGAAGAGGCCCAGCAGCTTCTACAATGCCACTCTCTTTTCCTTTCTCGCCACTTTCTGCTACCATGAGAAGTTGGGTTTTGCTGGAAGAAAGATAAACAAACTTTTGAAATTTCATGTGTAACTCCCCAAACTTTATTTATTAGACCTACAGCCTGTAGCAACTTATGTCAATGTTAACCACAATCAAGAATAAGACTGAGAATAAAAGACAACAGAGTTAACACAATCCTCCAAGTATCAGCAATCTTTGACTTGCAGAGGATAAGACGGATAAAGAAGAGGTAATCTTTGCTTCGTTTAGGCATACCATTTCTCCAGCCACTTAATGATGGCAGCACAGAGTGTAAGATGTCCTGCTCCATCACCTGCACTGGCCAGCACAGCAGCTGTGTTCATGAGGTCACCAAATTTGGATCCAATATTACTCCACTCTCCAGGGACATCTGGCAGGAGCTCATTTCCCAGTGGAATTAAGCATTTTAGCAGGCAGTGGCTTACTTCTTCACCAACAGGGCTGTACAAATAACACCATAACATGTCATTCCAAACCATAACCCACAGAAATACTTTGAATCTATTTTGTGATGAGTATTACATGTACAGTGTATATCTATCTACACACAGGACTTCTCACCTCTTGCCATCTTAAAGTTCACAAAGTTTATCATGAAGTGTCAATTCCTTTTCATACATTTTTAGAAGATGACTAATTAGGCAACATACCAAAAGCAAAAATTTAAACAGATCCATTTACCGGTAATTAAGTCATTAAACCATCATTTTACATTCTAAGCTTTACCTCACACTACATTACAAGGCCCCTCAGGGTGTTATACCTTGACTCCTTGACAATATGAGTGGCAAATGTCTGTAAGAGAAGTCTGTTATCTGCCATCTTTCCAGTGTTCCCTTTGTCTTCTTCCACACCTAAGATGATCCTTCTCAGCCATGCCTCAATGTTTGCATGGTCTATGTGGCAAAGCTCAGAGAGACTTGAACATAACGAGCGCATACTGGAGTTTACAGGTTTCTCAGCTGTGAAAAAATAAATGGCATTTGTACATTTTGTAAAAGTAGTTCTTAAGTTAACAATGACCATGATGTTAAATTCAACAAAATTTACCAAGTTGCAGGAAGCGAACTGCCAGTTTCAGTGTTCTATTGACATATCCAAGAGATAGGCGCTTGTTTGCAGAGAACACAATAACTTGGCAGAGTTCTCTGTTCTTTGAGTACAACTGATCCAATAGTGAGTGGTCAGACACTTTGTCCAACAAGGAATCCATGTATTTCAAACAGTCCACCAGAACCTCTTCACCAATATCAGATCTAAGAACGAGAAAAATGATCACTGCATTTTCAAACTCTATTCTTGATATATTAATGCTGAACAATAATAATTTGACTCTTTGACATACCTACTAGCTCTTGACTGGTCTAAAAGAAGTTTGTGACATTTTGATAGCACATAAGACTGAATACAATTGGCAAATTTGTCACTGTCTGCTGAGTCAATGACTCGCTCCAAGATGGTGTTACACTGTTCAGACAAATACTCTGTAGTGGCATCCACCATAAGTGGTACTATGTTATCACACAGTTGCTTCCCCAGGGCAGTTTGCATTGAGTGTTCCTCTTTTGGACACCACCTTGTGAGCAGAAAAAAAAAATCACTGAATGAGGGATTCCATATAAGAAAATTGAGACACAGCATGTGCAATAAATGTGGTGAAATCTTATCTTTTCAACCTAAGAATTAAGAGAGTTGCTTTCTTAACCCTTCCACCCCTAAGAGTGACTTGAATATAATTTCTCCTTATAATATCCCTAAAGGACCTGATCACCAACTAAAGAAGCTCTTGATTGTGAAAATAATAAATTCACCATGTCAGCACCTTAAGACAATGTATAGAAAACAGTATTGAGAACATGCAGCCTGATATTACCGTTATATTACAGTTTAAAAGCACATGTGGCAAGATTCATGAATTTGATACAAATTGAAATATTTATTATTGCCACAGTGTCTAATATCTGTTTCCAGGTTTATGAGAGTGCACAGTAAGTGATTTTTCCATCCAAATCAATTTAGGAGAGAGTTAGATAAATTTTACACCCAGAGTTTAAATAGAATGGCATTAACAAAGACTTACGAAAGCAAATCAGCAGCTAGCTGAACCAATGAGTGAAGAGTGTGTTTAAGAGCTGGTGCAATATCCAAGATATTACCACTGCAGACAGCCAACACATGAGCTGACACCAGAGAATCCAGAAAGTTTTCTGTGCCGACTTCAATTAGACATGATGATGTCTTCCATGATGATGCAGAGGGAAAATTTGTGAGCACAATGTTGTTCCATTTCTCCAAATGTTTTTTCACAGATGTGGGAAGACCTGCAAAAAAAAAATTTTTTTTCAAGAAAGTTAAAAGCTTTTTTCTGCCTTGCAAGGCCAAATCTTGGTAAAGTATTAGGATAACTTCAGTTGATAAATTCTGAGTTATCAAGACTCATTCAACTTGCATACCTGCCAAGAATGTCACTGAAAGACATGAGTGTTTAGGAAGTCGCATACACCCAATCTTTAGGACACTGGAGTACGCCTGCAATGCCTCCATTCCCTCGCTATCGTCATTCTTCTGCTTTGTAGCATCAAACAGCAAACAAAGCCTAAAAACAAGAAATAAGTTAAAATAAAACTGATGGCAAACACATTTTCTTTGATATCAGACTCTTAGTGTAGTATAGTGCTGTCTAAGAGAAGGATTTATTCAAAAGACTGGGTTTTGGAGAATTACACTCACTCATTCCTTATTTCACAACTCACAGTTAAGTAAACATTTAGGACAGGGTTACATTTCTAAGACTGAGAACAACAGCAGCTTTGCTTCACAGTATTGTCACATTCTAAAACTCCTTACCCAACAAATTTCTGATATAATGAAATCAAGTCAATGAGTGCAGGCAATAACTCATTGGCATTTTCCACAACAAGGGTTAAATCAGGATCTTCATCACAGTTTCCAAAGAGAGAATTTAGTGCCACATGAGTTTTTCCAATGACAGCATCAAGTGTGCAAAGGCTCAGTAGTCCTGGTAGTTTATAAGGTCTGTCAGCCTGGACAAGTTCAGTGTGAAGTTTCAACATCTACACAAATAACAAACAAATCACCATAATTATAAGATTATTGTATGAGGCAGAAGGAAAGAAATATGATGCCCATGGCTATTGCAAAGGGGAAGAGAACACTAAGATCTACATATGACACACAGATTATAGCAAACCTTGAGTTTCCCATTGTGAAACAAATTTTCTCAATTTTTAAATTGATTGTTTTGGAACCCCTTGTATAACCCATGTTTAGGTACATTAGTTTTAGTCACCCACAATGGCGATAAGGTCTCCAATCATAGTCACCATGATGTTCTACAGTGTTAATGGTACACAAGTTAAGAGGTCAATTACATCATGTATCCTTTTCTGTCAAAAAAAAAAAAAAAAATTCAAGACCAAGTGCTATCTAAAACTTTCAGCAATTCAACTCTCAAAAAACCATAGATCAAAAACTTTAGGTTGTATGGTGTAAATTATCCAAAAAGGTGCTATTAACAAAGTCATTCCCATTCCATCTTCAAAAAACATTCTTCACAGAGATTTAAACAGAATATAAGCTTCAGTTTGTATATGTAAGTATAAATAAAGAGCCATTGACCTTTGATCAACAGAAACATAAACATTAGTCCGTGCAATGTAATAATCATTACCTCTATCAAGAACTGTTTTGCCATCATGACACTGTGATGGAGATCACCACTCAAACTTGTTACTTTATCAATCATTTTCTTAGAGTCTTCACTGGACATTCCTTGATCAACAAGACTGTTCTGTAGGGTGAAACAAGATTATTACTATGGCTGATCCAAAATTTACAACTAACTATGATTCTGACACCCCTGATCCAAGCAGGGCCTAAAACATTCATCAAAAGGCTGAATGAATCAAATATATGGCCTAGCGTGCCAATAGATGTAATTCAGTTCAGTTGGTAGAGCGTGCGACTACATAATCAGAAGGTCTTGGGTTTAAATTCTCCTTTGGGAATTTTGATGTTTTCTCCATTCCACATCATAGTAATCGTCTAACATCCTTTTTTATTTGACTATCAAGCTTAAAATTTACATGTACCAAACCCCTTGATCTGAGGTTAATGAAAAAGAAAGCAAAGAACATCACAAGCACTGCTCCCTACATTTCACAATAAATGAAAGATTCTCAGTAATGACTGAATTTCCAATCTTTAATTGCATGTCCATGAGGGTACATGTACATGTACATGTAAAAGCAAGAAGCAAGGTACTGACTCAACCAATAAAAATATGTAAAACTGAAAAAAAAAAAAGAAACTTGAAATTCTTGTTCATTCTTATGTGTACATGTTGATATTTCACTTTCAATGTACAAAGACAAGACCACTTTCACCCAAACATAAAACCATCCTCATTTACAGCAGGGTCATGTACAGTCAAGGAGGTCCATCAAGTTCATAAATAAATACAGTATCATTTTGCAATATGTACACACAGTTTACAAATGTACACATCATGCTCATACCTTGAGTGTTTCACAGAAGGCAGCATCTGGACTTGAAGTGCCAAGTTTTGACACAAATTTCAGACTACACAAAAGTTCTGCTAGGTCGGGGTCCTTTGAAAAAGGGAAAATGTGTTAATAGAATGGAAATGGGATAGATAGAAAAAGATGAGAAAAACACTTGCTTATTCTAGTATTAAATTTTATAAGGTCCCTCACAACTGGTCTCACTTTGTTTGACACTGTAAAAATATTGGATGCAAAATTGATAGTGTGATTGCTTCTGATAGTTACAGGACTGAGTACATGTACAACTGTAACTATCACTTTACTTACAGTTACTTGAAGATGCTGTCTCTCAAGATCTTGAAGAAGTTTCTGAAAAAAATCAACTGATGGTGGTAGACAGTCTAGTATCCGCCATGCAAGGTTGAAGCTGTGCTTCACAACTGCACCATCAACTGGCCCTGAATGATAACTGTCTCCTGGGTGAGATCCCACCATCAGAAACTTGATCATTGCTGAATAAAAATCCTTGTAGTTTTGACCATCTCCAGACAAACTTAAAAGTGTAGAGCAAGCCTGAAATTTTTAAATCAACCAAATGCTATTATATTAGTCATAGAAAATATAAACAAAAATTCCATCATGGCAATACATCCTTTAACTCCCAAAATCTGATTGTTAATTCTCCTTTCTGGCTGCTACACATTTCCTTGTAAATTAGTTATGTGAGTATGGTATTACATCACGATAACAGCTTCTAACTGATAAGTTTGAGTAGTTTCATGACCTGTTTGTTGGATGATGTTTAGATATTACAGGGAGAAGTTACATGTTAATCACTTTTGGGAGGTAAAGGGTTCAGTCTTGCTAGCCTTCTGTCCTTACTGGCAAAGTTTATCCTGGTTTCACTGGCATGAAGCAATTACTTTTGACTCCCATCCTACAGTAGATGGGATGTGGGTCACCACAGGTAACATCCTGAGTGAAATTTATCATGTCTCTGCAACAGTTTGCCAGAACCCATTTATTCTCCAGGGTGAACAGAGTAATTGTGAGAGTAGGGTGTCATGCCCAGGAACACAACATAATAACTCAATCAAAGTGCAATTGCCGATCCATTTATTCAGAGGGATACAAACAAAGCCCTGCACCTCTGCTGTAGGGAGATTACTAACAACAGGTCAGCAACACACCTCTTTATCCATGTCATTCCCTACAAGAACAGATCTTATCTCATAAAATCTGGGCGTCAAACTGTGAGACTTGGGTAACTTGAGCTCATCAGCCAGTAAAGGAACTTTCAAAGAGTCTTCTTCAGAGTTATTAGCAGCATAATACAAAGGTTCAAAGGAATCTGCACAGCCTTGGTCCTCCATAAATCTTGAGTTGGCTGAGGCACAGCTTTGGAATAGGTTATGCTGCACCTAATGTGAATGATAATCCAATACTAATAACTAATACACATAGCTGGCTAATGTCATGTGACTAATTGAAACTACACATCTACTTAAACTGCAATTCTCTTAGGCATAAAAAAATTTTAAAAATTTGTGATATAAATTTTTGTTATGGCTTTTCTTTGTATTAGAATTTGTTACATTTGAATCTCAAGCAACTGAAAAACAATGCAATTCAAGGCCCTGGAACTTACCACAGATATCATATGCAACTTTTAAAAAAGGGCAGTCTGTACACATAAGCTTTACATTTCAATTTAGAGCGTATACACTAATTATTGTGTATCACAGACCTGTTTAAATAGATCTTCTGGTGGTGCTGACAAATGGTGAAGAAAGTAATCCAACAGCAATAAGAGACGACCCAGTGCCAAGGGAGGAGAATGCAATATTGACAATGAGTTGGCAATGGTTATAAGCACGCTGACACAATAAGTGATGAGTGATTTACGCTGATTCAGAGAAAAGTTGTGGAAAATGAACAGCAGAAGTTGGAGATGTTCCACATTGAGATCTGAAAGAAAATATGAAATGTTTGCTTAGACTTACAATAACTATCTGTGCTGACAGCTACAGGTTGGTAGATTCTTTCAGTTTCCCTGTTGCACAATACCC